TCTTCCTGATCATACTTGCCACGAAAGCTGTTATCTCTCCCGGTTCTCTTTGGTTCAGCTCTCTTTATTTCGACCTGTTGATCCATTGTAAATGCTTGAGATCATTACTTACTTCTTTATACCATTGTAAGTGCTTGAGATCATTAAAAATTAGAAAGAGGCTTGCCTGTTTGTCACCGAGCTCATGAACTTTCCCATCGGAGAAAAGTCTGTCCACAGAGTCTTCAGTCTCAAAAGTTACAAAACCAAACCCTCTTGACCTTCCACTGTGGTGGTCGTACATGATCTGATGCTCAGCTATGTCACCATATACACAGAAATACTTCTTCAGTTCATCTACAAATATGAAAAAAGCCACATTAACAGCAACACTAACAACAACTGCAGACAGAAACAGAGAACAAGCTTAGAGAAACTTTTTACCTTGTTCCAAAAATGGTGGAAGTCCACCAACAAAGATCTTCCTCGTCTTTGAGACCGCTTTGATATCATTATCCCTGTCCCCTCTAGGAACTGTCCTTTTTAGGTCAACCTAACATTTAGATAGGAATCAACCAAAGCATCTAACAGGAGAAAGAAAAGCTGAGCCATAAAACTAATGTCTTGATATCTAATCTACCTTTCGGTCATCAATTACATGATCTTCCTCCAAAACTTTCTCTGCAACAGCTGAATCAGCAAAAGTTACAAACCCAAACCCCCTTGGCTTTCCAGTCATTCTATCTGTCATGATTACAGAGTCGACAACTTCTCCAAACTTCCCAAAGTAATCCGCAAATTTCTCTGAAACAAAGCAACCAGACGCAAGATCAAGACAAACCAATCCATGTCAGCTCAATACAAGAGCATGAAAAGCTAAGACAATGAAAAAGACTCAACAAGCAAAAACAAAAACGACCAGAAACATCTTCTTACCTTCTGTTGTTTCCCAAGAAACTCCACCAACGAACAGTTTCCTAAAACAAGAAACCACTCCGCTTCAGTATCTTAGCTTCACACGCTTAATAACCAGCTCGATTGAGAAATGAGAATGAGATCAACATGAAAACTAAACCAAACCCACTAACCCAGGAGAAGACATGGACGAAGAAGAATGGCGATGCTCAACGGATTGCTTCATCTGCATCCCACCGCTCCTCCGGTCATCAACAGTCTCCACTTCGTAATCCTGCGGTGGTAGCTGTTCGTCTTGTATGTCACGACGGTACGAGTCATCATAGCCACGATCTGAGCTGTAATCCATCATTGATCACTGCAGCTGAATCAAAAAAATCAAAACTTTAATTTCTCCTTCTCCCGATGAAACTCAACTGAAGCGAGTGAAACCCAAACACAAACAAAATTCTTTGATTCGACGTTATGACATCGAGAATTCAAAATTCTGAGCTTGAGAGAGAGAACCCTAACCAAAGACGGCTGTAGTGGCAAACGGCAACAAGCTCAGGCGAGAATTTTAACACACTATAGCCCCCACTGAAGAAATTTTGAACAAAATGAATTTGATTCGGTGTTATCAACTTATCATCGGAATATCCGAAAACGTCACCGTATTACTGTAGTCAACGTTGGTCTAACAGTTTTCTTGTCACTTTGTCAACATCAGAAGATCAAAGGTTGACACTTTTAACTTCTTCTTATCTGAATTAACAATCTTTCACACAACAACAAAGAAACTCTGTTTTACACAGAACTGGAAAATAGTTACAAATCTTTTAGCTAAGCTTCTTTGGATTTTGCAGCTTTCAATGCTTCAATAACCGCAGAGAAATCCTCATCGCTCAGTCCATAAGATTTCGCAACCTTGTAAAGCTCGTTCGCAGCTGCTGCAATCGGCGTAGACTGAGAAACACTTTCCGCTAGTCCAAGTGCGAGTCTCATATCCTATACGCACACATAAATCTCATCAAACTCTAATCTTTGTGAGACTCTAAACAAGGAGATATCAAAGTTTCACAAACCTTCTGCTGGTGCTTCAATGGGAAAGCCGTAGGGTACACTGACTTGATCATCGAAGGACCTTTTAGAGAGTACATTGGCGCATTGATAGCTCCCTGTGAGACAACCTGCAGAGGTTTTTCTTCAGGTCAAGACCGGATTTGAGAAGGAATATTTCTGCTTAATCAAAGGTGTTTTGAAAATTACCTCGACTAGTACGTTTGGATCGAGTCCTACTTTCTGGCTTAGAAGTATTCCTTCAGCAAATGATGCCATCATACTGCAAGATTGTATGACAAGAGAGAGATTAGAGAGAAGAGTCTGATATTTGCCTAAGAAATGAAGCCACTGATGGTCAAATGATTACCTTCCCATGATCATGTTGACGACAAGCTTCATTGCTGCTCCATTACCAACTTCACCCAAATAGAATCTTGACTGGATCATATAACGCAAAACTAGTAATGAAATGGTTTCTTTACTGAACTTACAAGGAGAACTACAAGCAACAAAAGGAGATACCTTTCCCATGATGTCTAAGAAAGGAGCAGCTTTTTCGTATAGCAGCTTGTCACCTGAAAATGTTAAGCGCCAGATAAAGTCTTAAATCTCCTTTTTCATTAAACCATGATACAAGACTATTACTGTGAATACAAGCTCAGTGAGGAACAAGCTATTACTAACCTGCAGTGAGGAATATCAACTGACCATCTTCGGCAGGCTTTTTGGAACCTGAAACCGGTGCCTGTGGATATCAATAGAGATGGCTGAAGTCAAATAATCTGCTAAAAAGTTTCTTAAGTGATTCAAAACATAGATTTTTAAAAGTCTCTTTACCTCCAAAAACAATGCTCCGGCATTCTTTATTTGCTTGCCGATTAAGATCGATGAAGCAGCATCAACGGTTGACACATCAACATACCTGCATTAAAAAGGAAAGCCTCATTTTTACCATATTGATTCAAAGAAAAAAGGAAAAAGAAGAAAAAAATTCAGATATCTTGAAACAGTTTTAACACAGAAAAGACGAGGCAAAGCTTAAATCCAACAAAGATCTCATGAAGGAGTGTGTGTACCCTTTTCCTGAGCTAATTCCAGATACGGCTCCATTCTTTCCACATGCAACATCAATCTGAAAGAGAGCAAAACAAACACACAGTTTCTGTCTTAACATGGAGTGGAAGAAAAGTTAGCAAACAAGAAAGTAAGCAACAAGTGAAACATACGCACTGCACTTTCAGGATCAGCAAGCATCGCAAATGTGAGATCACAAGTTGCAGTCACTTCTTCAGGAGATGACTTGTACCTGCAAACAAAGATGAAATGTTTTTTATCAGAGAGGTTTTGTAATTGCATTGTTCTAAAATCACATCAGTCTTTATAAAAGAAAAATCACTCTTACTTTGCTCCTAATCCGATGAGGGGGTCACACTTGCTCTTAGTTCGATTCCATACAGTCACATCACACCTAATACCCAAGCCCCGGAAGAGCAAAGTATAATCAATAAAAGAAGGTAAAGTAGCAAAATTGATGTGACTTATATAGTTGACACATAAAAGTCCAAAACTTGTACCCAGCTTTGATGAGGTTTTGTGCCATTGGAGAACCCATGATTCCCAAACCCAGAAATCCAATGCTAAGTGTTCCAAGTTCATCTGCCATACAAACCCCAACCATTCCTCAAATACCACTAACCGAAAACAAACAATGAAGAGACTAGTATTCTGTATTCGAACATCTTTCTCCAAAGTTGTGTGATTTCTCCCAATTTAAACACAATTCATGGTTCTGGACAGCAAGGCATGTGGGAATTGAGCACCAATTGTAGGCAAAAACCAAAACAAGAAATTACCTTTTGTAGAGGGAGTAGGTTGCTGGGAAGAGTAAGCTCTAAAAGAGAGAGAAAACAGAGGTTTTGAGGGAAAAGGGGAAATGGGCTTTGGTCTGAATCGAATAGGAATACGAGGGCAGAAGGTGGAGCACAAAGCCATGGCTCTTGAAGAAGAAGACGCAAAAGATAATGGAACCAAAGGCATGGCCACTGGCACTGCGTTTGTAAATTAAAAGACTGGACCTGGCTCCCATAGGGTGTGGCCAAAAATCTCACATTTCGAGGCGAAAAATGGAATTTTTGTCATCTTCTTTTTTAATCGACTGAAGATTTACCAAGGTACAAAAGTAAGACTAAGTACGATTAATTCATTGCCTTGCCGACTCTGAAATTGCGATATAGGATTGAAAAGATCCTGTATTTCGCAATTGAATTTGATGTGTGTGCGTTTCGAAGGCACAAAGCTCAAATCCATTAGCAACTTGTTTGGATACGTCAATCCAACTTCCAAACACTAATGGTCATTTTTACATGTATGTTAATTGCTTTGGTAGCATCACTATACAATCTCAGATCATGTCGTCAGTGCATTGTATTAGCATATCATTTTGGCCTCCTTCGAATGAATCGGAAAGCTTATAGAGAGTTGGTTCAACCCGGACAAACTCGGTTAATTTCATTCAAAACCGAACCGAAAAAATCGATTTGAAAACCGGGTATTGTGTCTGTGTCATAGGTAAAAGAACAGCAGCCTGCCCTATGTGATATAGACTATGAAGGAAGCTAGTTTTGTTTTTGTTTTACTCTATCTATACACAGCACCGGGAAAAGAAAAGAGAATAAAGAATGATTTAGTTCTCTGGTTGAGCTCACGCAATCACCAAATCAGGTTCTGCAAGTTCGCAATCTTCCATTTTTATGCCTGAAAACCAACACAAAGAAGTAAAAGAGCAAGATGTTTTCAGTGAAATGACATGAGCTTGTTGGCCTTAACCTGAAAGGATCGAAGTAGCAAGTAACTTTTATATACTAATAAGTGTGAGGGTGAGAGGGATGCTGACCAAAAGGAGTCTTTCTTCTCCTGTTCCAATAGCTCTTCGAATGAGATGTCTGAACACTCGTCATCTGGACTCTCTAACTCTGTCCTCGATTTGTTTTTGAGTTCCATGGAAGCGCTTATCTCAAGAACCTACAGTATCGGAAACAGTATTTATGGCAGCTAATAAAAAAAAGAAACCAGAATACCAAGGAAAGTCTGGATTATTACGCTAACACAGATAGGACTCTACTGGTTTATCAGACGACAACAATAATCAGCAAGATTTAATCCAGAATCAGAAACACCAATCGAACATATTTTGAGGTTTTGGACGCATATGATACAATCTACAGAAACAAGTGATTGAGTTTGGTTTTTACCTTTTTGTATGCAGGTGAAAGTTTTAGTTGTTGTTGGAGCCAGTTATATACAAGTGCATCTTCCTCTACCTTTTTTTGTTCCATCTCTAACTTGTAGATCTGATAACACACAAACATTACATTTTCTGCCTCAAAAAAATTGAGACAAAAACTGATTAAGCTAACATTCACCTGTTGACGAACTCGGTCAAAGGAAGATTTATCGGCCTTTAAGAGAAGAGCTTTTGCTATTGAATACTTGCGCTTGATCACCTCTGACCTACAATATAAATCGAGCAGGCCTAAATTAGCGTCACTGGAGAAGAAAATGGTGAAAACTCAGACAACTAGCAACATCTCGCCATTAAAGGTAAACATAAGGTAAAAAGCAGCTACATTTGTTATGCATACGGAAATCCAGGTATTAAAAGTTAATGAAAATCTATAATCTCTCAACAACATCTTCTTAAGAATTACTATTGCACCAGGGAAAGTTGAACGCACAAATAAGATATTTCAATCAACAAGAAACAAGACAGTGTCCTCAAAATGCAGGAAGGACAAAGGACAAGGATCAGAGACTGACGCAATATGATATTCTACTATGGTGGTGTTAGCTTACTTGTGCTGTAGTTCATTTTTGGTTTCTATCAGACAATTAGCAAACTCTCCAACCTGCACAAGTGAAGGAACCATAAGAAATATCATCCAAAGACGTAATTCAGACTTATATATACGCAAGAAATCCCCAGAAGTTCTTTTGTTTATCAACTGATCTAGTCAAAGATATTGAGCCAACACCACAAAGTTAAAAGCCAAAGAGGCTTTATATGCTGAAAAAGCCTATTGCTTTAGCAAATTCAGAGGCTTAGTAGACATTATTAGTACATTTGGCTTTAATTCAGGATTCCAATTTTCAGTTGCAATGTAGTTATGACCTTAAGAAGCTGACCTCACCTGAGCTAGGGTCAATCCTTTGGCACTGTTGCATTTGACAAGGTGGTCGTATTGCTGCTTAATCTTCCTCTGCGTAGCACTGGTCGTCGAGGTGAAAGGATACAAGCAAACAAACTCCGGTTTGATTTCCGAAATCGGAATCGGATTCAAAACTAACCCATCTCCTTCACCAGGCCGCTTTCCGCCGCCGGATTCATCATTTCCACCCTCTATCAGCTCTGATTTCTTCTTCTTAACTCTCTTTTTCTTCTTCTTCTTCATCTTCGCAGACCCTCCTTGGTCTCCCCCCTCCCAATCCGACTCTTCCTTCTTATCGGAGAGCAGAAGTTCGTAGAGACGCGAATTCGCTAGACGGGTCCGGTTAGCTTCGAGGGATTGGTACTGGGCTACGTCGGAAATCTCCGATGGAGAAGATTCCGGTTCGAGTATGGTTTGGGGTTCGGATAAGAGTTTCTGCCGGTACACAGCAGCTCTGCGGCGGGAAGCTTGGAGGAGAAAGAAGATAGCGGAGAGGAGTGAGAGGAGGGAGAGAGTTAGGAGAGATAAGAAGAGAAAGGAATACATGAGAGGGTTTTAGTGAAGAAGATGCTATAGTTTCGATTTCTGCGAAATGCGGAGCCGCCGTTAACGTGTTTAGTACATCATCACAGGGAAGAGAAAGCGACGACGAAAAAACTCCTTTATTTAGTAATTACGATATTTTTATGGAAAGTTTTTAACTATTTTGTAGTTAAACTTAATATCGCATTTAATTTGAATTACCACTAGTAGTATTTAATTTAACAGATTATACATTGTTACTCACCAAAAAAAAACAGATTATAGTTTGAGTTTTTCCATTTGCAATATTAACCATTATTCTACTGTGGGATTACATGTTTCAACTTTCAAGTAGTGACAAAAAACCTCAATTTCTTTCATGTATTTAGAAGATAAGTTTAGATTATTTGGACTTAGAAATTTATAACTATATTATTATTTTCATTTTCAGTTTCAATTTTTTCTGTTTTTTTTTTTAAGTTTGAATGTTGATAGATACACACACATACATACTTGTATAATGTGAAATGATATTCATTTAACTGATGTTAGCAGTACTTTTCTTTTTTTACCTAATTAAAATCTAATAGTGTAATCCAGTGTCTATAAAACTATAACTGTGCAAGGTAAATTAGTAATGTTCCAAAAAGTTAAGGTTTTTATTGCATTTTGATCGTCTGGCATCTATGTTGAAGAAGATTATAAGACAATAAAATTATGATTAGTTTTTACTTTTGCAATCTATGTTGAAGAAGATTATAAGACCATAAATTTATGATTAGTTTTCACTTTTGGCTATTGCAAAAGCGATATTTAATATCATATATTATATATTATATGTAAGCTAAATATGCAACCGAGTCGTTGTAGTATAGTGGTAAGTATTCCCGCCTGTCACGCGGGTGACCCGGGTTCGATCCCCGGCAACGGCGATTTTTGTTTTTGTTGTAATGAAGAAATTTGGATATTTTCATGAAATTAGGGCAAAAAACTTTTAATGGCTTCGCCCGGGTTCGAACCGGAGACCTTCAGTGTGTTAGACTGACGTGATAACCAACTACACCACGAAACCTTTTGGTTAGATTAATTCAATAAAGTTTATAACGATTATCCTTCTGGGCCTGGCAGGCTTTTAAAAGCTATCGACATATTTCACGTTCTCTCCAGACAAACTCGACGACACTCTCTCGGTTCTCTATCTCCGGCGAAATCCTAGCAAATTCGGCGGAATCTCAGGCGAGTTTCAGCTCTGTATCTTATTACTTATGGGTTTTTGTAGATTTTGGGGTTTAGAGCTTCATTGGTTAGCGATTCTGGGTTTAGATATTCAAATTGTTATGCTCTTCTGTCCTTAAACTGGAATTGGATTGTTTGATTGATCGATATTAAGCTCAATCCGTAGTGTCCTGTGACGCTTTGTATTGTTTGATTGATTGGATTTGTGGTTGTATTTGGTAAGAATTACTCAAAGAGTAAGAGAGTAGATTTTTCATCAGGCTGCTAATAAGATTTCGGAGAATTGTGTATGGTGTTAATACGTCCTTGTTATTATCATTATATTCTTGATTTTTTTTTGCTATTACATATGCTTGATAATGATTAATGAAGAACCATATGAGATGTTAAAGGTGAAACATCATACAAATACTTTATGCATCTTGTTTTTGGACCTGCTCTCTTCCCATGATTTTAGTAGATTATGGAATCGTTATAACTGCAGCTGCGTATAAAAACTATCTCACTTTTTTTGTTTTGTTAAATTTTTGTAGATAGTAAAGTTTGAGGAAGTAAAGGCCAAAAGAGAGTGTTTGGTTTGTTTATTCATCTCTTTTCGGAAGGATGGAAGATAAAGGAAAAGGTAAAGTGATGGGAGATGAGGAAAACTTGATTTCTGAGTTAGAAGAGGGTCCAAGCAATATGGAAATTGACAAGGAAGAACATGGTGGTGATGGTAGTGATGATAACTATGATGATGAAGACGTAAACAGTGATGAAGAAGGCCAGGTAGATGATGATGATGATGATGATGAGGGAGATGAGTCAGAAGAAGGAGGTGAATTCGAGGCTGGAAGTGAAATTCCAAACACACTTGAACGCCCTGAGTATGATGCTCAGGCTGAGAAGAAACGTAAAGCACTTGCTGATTCTCAACGGTTAGTTTTCCCCTACTCGTTTTGTTTTCTACTTGGGAACGCAGTGTTCCTGAGAATGTTGCAATTCAATGAATAACTTGTTTAAATTCTCTCTACTTCACCTTCTTGCTTGAATATCTCTCAAATGAAAAAAATCACTCTCTGCCCAACTTGAATGGCAAATGTAAATGCTCATAAGTCTCATTTGGCTTAGTGCTTTATGCTTTAATTCCAAAATCCACTCGAGTAACTTTTCGTTAGATTTGTTGGTCAAGTACTTCCCTTGCGTTGTACAACATTTCTTTTGAGTTCATTATTTGTTTTTCTATGTGGCAGTGACGGTTCAGATAAGAGAGTCAAGTATGATGGTATCAACATCTCGAATAGCACAGTCGGTGAGAAGGGATTCATGGAACAATTCATGTCTTCTGGTCGCCGGCGAAGGTCGAAGAAGGTGTGTTTTCATAGGATAGCCACTGTTTTTACCTCATGAGTTAACTTTGTGTATTAGATTGTGTAATCATAGGAAGGTGTATTACATTGTGTATTAAGTCCTTCCCTTTCAGCAAGAACTTTGAGCTTTTGTCTATTATTCGGCATTAACTCTTCAAAAAGGATATTACTTAAATTGAACGTTTGTTCTTAAACCACATTGAAATTAAAAGCATGGATATCCTTTACATTCTCTCGTGCTACACTCCAACGAAATTATTAGGATGGGCCTAGTCTATTCATATCAAGCTTACTACTGCATATGCTGCATCGTCTTTTAACTTATATATTCTATAATTTTGCAGCATAAAAAACGGGGTAGAAGACACGGGTCAAAGAAAGAAGTTGCACCGGAGATTCTTAAGAGGTTTAGGGAGGCTCTTTTTCTTCATGCACATGGCCGTGACACTGAGGTAATCCAGATTCTTTATTTTCTGTTGGTATCGTGCTTCTAGAGAAAAAAAGGCATAGCTTTGTGAACAAATTTTTCTGAAAAATGAACTGATTTTTCTCTACCATAATATGGTTTGATTATTACATATCAGATGTTACTGCTTTTTCCTAACTTAGTGTGTGTCAAATATCATATATATATATATATATATATATATTTATGGACTGATCCAGATTTATGTGGATTTACTTTCTTCCAGGCTCTACCTATTTTAGTAGAAGTTATTAAGCAAGCACCAGCCTTTGATACAGCATATTATTACCTTTCACGTGTTACTGAGCAACTTGGTAGGACCGAAACATTATCTACAGAAGCATTGAAGATTGCTGCAAATATCAAAGGTCCAAAATCACCTTTTTGGAAGCTGCTTTATGAGAGGTTCAAGTAAGTTCTCTTGGTTCAGGCCAGTCTTAATCTGTTTCATCTTGTACAGCAAAAATGGCAAACGCAAAATACTATTCTGTTACTACTATATGCTTGTCAATGATGGCTATCTAGATGTCACGGTAGTTGTTTACAGTAAGACTTATTTAAAGATTGTAGGGCTTGCAAATAATTAGGCAGCTAGAAACCAACGTTGTTATCCTTGGTAATACAGCGATAGGGTAAGAGATTAGAATGAAGACAGGGGAACCTGTTTTGTTGTCTGTTAGAATTCGTTATTGATTGTGGCAAACTAAGTAAGAAAAAGTAATTAACTTCAGGGAACAAGAGGACATGTTGGCAGCAAGGAATTATGCGTCCAAAGCAATACAAGCTGATCCAGATGATATCCCTTTAAAATATGAATATGCAGACCTCTGCCTAAATGCCGGGAAATATAAAGATGCTGCTGAAACCTTTGAGCAAATATTTTGTCGGTGTCCTGAGAGAACTGAAGCACTCAAGTGGGCGATAGAGGTATATAAGCTGAATGACTAGAAATTTATTCTCATTGCTAATCCTTGTGATGTAATTTCTCTACCCAGAGAAAGACAAATGGTTACACCAATCTTATGAACCCTTGTTATTGGTCTTTTCAGTATTTCCTAAAATCCGGTGAGGGTGAACGAGCAGCAAGCATCTTAGAGGATCATATCAAATCCCATTCATCTGAAGTGGGGCCTGATGTCTTGGATTTACTGGCTTCTGTTTTCATGCAAATTAATGCGTATGATAGAGCTCTTAAGTATATTCATGATGTCCGCCATATTTACAATCAAGGAAAAGAACTGTCTTCCAGTTTGAAAATCAGACAAGCTATCTGTCATGTACGCCTTGGAGAAATGGAGCAGGCAGAGGTTTGTATGTCGATACTATAAAACTGCTAATCGTTTATCCCAATAATTTCTTTAAAGCTATACTGTCTTCTAATTCTTGTAGTAGATTTATATGCCATCTCATTTTCCTCAATTTTTGGGTTGCCTGGAACCCTTCTCTCAATCCTTGTTTTGTATGAAACCTGAGGATTGACATACAAAAAAAGAGAATGAGAACTCAATATGGCATAAAAAATCTTTGCATTGGTCCTTATCATTATTGGTACTTTGTATCCTTCTCAAATTCACTTTTCCCATTTTTTCCATCATATGAAGTATGTCAGTTTTCTTAGGCTGTAATCTGAATATGTTTTGCGGTCTCCTGTACAGAACGTTTCTGTTTTCAAAAATTTGATGTCTATTTCTGTGATCTTGTAGTTGCAAAATTCCTTACAGAGGTTTATGTACCTATTCTTGTGAATGATTTTGGTTCCCTGATCTGCAGAAAGTGTTAAGTATACTACCACGGGAGGCTGTATCTGAACATCCAGAGCTCATTACCAGTTTGGCTGATGAGCTAACAAACGTTGGGAATTTTAACTCCGCTCTCAAATACTATTTATCAGCAATCAGTGAACCTGCGAATGTAAGGAGATCACCAGTTGTGCTCTATGGTTTCTTCTATTACAACCTTTTTTTTTCTTCCCTTGTGTAACTAGTTTTGTGGGTTTCCTTGTAGAATGGCTACTTGTTTGTGAAAGTTGCTCGCTCTTATATATCATTGGCAAAACGAGAACAGGCCATAGCTTTCTATTATAAAGGTACTTTCTTAATTTCACTTTGTAAGGGGCTGATTTAGCTGTTGTGCATATGTGTTTTCGAGAGTGAAAGAGCTCTTAGGTGCATATGTTCTATCTCTAGGCCCCTCTAGTCAAGAGTATAGGGATTGATACAATTTCACTATGTTCTGTCGATAGTTAATTGCATGGAATGTTTTGAGAAGGTCTCCAAACTCAAATATCTTATGAATTTCTGTTTTGTAGATTAAATATCTTATCGTCTATTGTTGCTGACTGAAATTTCCCTCAGCTTTGCATGAACTTAGTGATCCGGTTGATGCTCGCATAACTCTGGCATCACTTCTCCTGGAAGATGGCAAACGAGATGAAGCTGTATTAGTGCTTTCTCCTCCGGAAAATCCAGGTCAGTGGAGAAAAAAAGTATTTTCTTCTCTAGCTGTATTGTCTGAGCGAGTACATATTTTATCTAAGATTTGCCCCCCCCCCCCCCCCCCATATTACATTACCTTATCAAATAGCACTTTGACAGATTTGATGCGAAATTTTGTATAAGTAATGGCTGTGTTACCTTTTCAATGTCGAATTTCTCTTCCAAATGTTAGTTATGCTATAAGATCGCTAACAATGGTTCTTTTCTCTAAGTGTAGATCTTGATACTGGTAAACAAAAGGCATGGTGGAAGAAAAGAAAGATCAGGATGAATCTTTGTCAGCTCTATTATTCAGAGGGAATGCTTGAGGAATTTGCCAATACAGCACTGCAGTTGGTTCTTAAGTGGGTTTGGCGACGGACGGTAATAGCCCTATTTCCAAGTTTTTTGGATTACTTTATCATATTATAAATCTGCTAAAGAAATTGAGAACAAAAGTAACATCCAGCATTTTCGTTACAGTTCCTTCATTATACATCAGCAGCATGTTGTTTCTTATTTTGTATGCTGGCCTTATGCTGTATTTGCACTCTGCCTCATGAAATGTTTAGGTAAAGGGGAAAAGAAAACGATCGGTTCTTTCGGAGCTTCAAAGGAATAGAAGACGCCGACGTCCTAGAGATGCTCAAGCTTCCGAGTGAGTATAATATATATCCTCCATAATCTTTAAGCCTTGTCATTTCTGTCTGCACATTATTATTAACTTCTTTTCCGACATATGCTGAGCAAGGTTGAGAGGAGGACCAAAAAAGTGGCGCAAAATCAGGGCAACATTAAATGAAACCAAAAGAATTAGAGAACGGGCTGCTATTAAAGCTCATAACGAAGATATGTGCAGTGAATCTGAGGTATCTATCAATGTGCACACGATGTTTGCAGTGATTTGTTGGTTTGTAGATCATTATTGCCGACTCTGTCCTCTTTGTTTCCTTTTACTTAATAATGCTTTTGCCTTTTAAACATTAACCGGGGTTATCCTTTGACTTTTCTTCTCAGGAAGAAGCCATCAAGGATGAAGAGTATCACCGTCTCTTTGTGGATGTAATTGACTGTTCCTTTTTACCATTATGTTGTGGATTGTTATTATTGCTTCCTTATGACCATATAACGTCCTTGATGCCGTCTTCCTTTATGTTTGTCATGTTGTCTGTCTTGTAGTTGTGCAAGGCATTGGCATCCCTGCAAAGATATTGGGAAGCTCTGGAGATAGTTAATCTGGCTCGGAGATTGGATGCCAAAATGCTGCCTGTTGAGAAAAAAAAGGAGCTTCAGTCACTTGGAGCTAGTAATCTCCTAACCCAACCTTGATATCTTTTCTTCTTAAAGACTCACATGCATTTATAACTATATATCATCGTCTTTTAGATAATGTATATATAATATACATGTGGTTAAGACTTAAGAACGCTTTCTTCGTTTGATGTCTACAGAAATATCGTGCGATACTATGGATCCAAAGCAGTGGTTTGACTGTGTAAGATCTGTCATTCAGCAGCATCCATATCGTTTGAATGCCTGGAACTGCTATTACAAAGTCATTTCAAGGTATTCAGGGCACTTGGAAAGTATTGTGGACATGGTTTTGTTTGCAGTAAGAATATCATCATATTGTTATGTGCAGACTAGGGAAAAGAGCATCGAGTGAAGCTAAGTTCATGCATCACTTGAGAAGCAAGCACAGAGATTGCGTACCGCCCATTCTGATTGCTGGTCATCACTTCACCGTGACAAGCCGACATCAAGATGCTGCAAGAGAATACCTTGAAGCTTATAAACTAATGCCCGATAGCCCTTTAATCAACCTTTGTGTAGGTACGTATGTATCTATCTACATTGTGCTCTTTCGCTTTCTTTAGCTACACTTAATTAGGTAAATCAAGTTTCTTTACCTTTTCTATCATCTTTTCAGGAGCTGCTTTAATCAACTTAGCCCTCGGTTTTCGACTCAAGAACAGGCATGAGTGTCTTGCTCAAGGCTTTGCATTTCTATATAACAATCTGAGAATCTGCAGTAACAGTCAAGAAGCGTTGTATAACGTTGCTCGAGCGTATCAGCACGTAGGACTTGTGACTCTTGCGGCTTCATACTACGAGAAGGTTTTAGCGGTTTATGAGAAAGAATATCCGATGCCAAAACTCCCTAACGAAGATCCAACTGTTGTGGAAGAGCGTAAACCTGTTAACTGCGACCTACGGAAAGAAGCTGCACACAATCTGCATTTGATCTATAAAAACAGTGGAGCCATTGACCTCGCCAGGCAGGTCTTAAAGGATCATTGTACTTTCTGAGTATCGTTTATGTAGTAAACTCTACAACCAAATGTCACTGTCTTACACTTATTTTCAAGTCTTTTTGTCCGAGAAACCTGAATTTATTTCGAGTTCAAGATTGTAAATGCCAAGATCTTGTTGGACCCATTGTAAATTCCAAGTTTCACATTCGAATACAGTTTTTAGTTTGGTATTAGATACTTCGGTCTGATAAAGAATATAATCCCCAAAAAAACTGAATGTTAAGATTCGATGATCTTAGTTAGTGGTTACTTGGATTTTTAAAAATAAAAATAAACTAGACCCTGTTATTATTCTGTAAGATTGGTTTCGTTTAAATCGGTTTGAACAGATTGATGTTTATCTGACCACAGAAAATGGTAGAATAAAAAATGTAGGGTTCAGACTTCAGATAACCAAAATAGATAGCAACATTTGTCTTTGCACCAACACAAAATATTCTGTAAAGACAGAATTCAAAGTGCAAAAATTGTTTGGGCATCTTGAATATTCCACTCCTTAACAGAAAGCAAAAATGCTCTTCTCAGAACTGATCATTCTCTTTGCGGAAACAGAACCAACGATCCTTTCCAGCTGCAAATAGGGATTCAAATAACAACACTCCATTAGAACTCACTCATCACATAGGTGCTACTGAGAGAGCTATATGTGTTTCAGAATTAAAATGTCAGAAACTGCATGCAAACCAACTAGAGTTTTGTTTAGGAAAGACTGAGAGAATCACCAGAGTTCAAATTTCACTCTTTATACCTTGTTCCAATTCAGAAACAAGTGGTATTCGAATTAACAGAGGATTGGAAATGACTAGGTGTGGCTCTCAGTGTGTAAAAACCAATCAAAATATTGAAAATGAAAGTCGTGTAATTACCTGCTGCATATCAAAACGTGAAAAAAGCGCAGTGGCCATCATGTCATGCGATCCTTCAAGCATGTTTACAATCTGCAGTTAAAGCAAGAATGATGAGGTTCTTTCTCTTGACAAGTGTTATATCATAATTAACTTGATTAAAGATGCTTTTACCTGAGGGTAAAACTCCTTCCGCTCCGGAAGAGAATATAAAATTAAATTCTTGATGCCACGGATCTGAAACCCGATAAGACGGCATTGATCAGAACAACATTTGTATCAAAGAACCTAATCAAAGATTTAGAAAGAAAGAAAAACCTTGTATCTCCGATAGAAGTATGATCTTTCAGTGTAGAGCATGATCTTTCGGCTCCCTGAAAAAAACCTTTCACGTGCACGGGATATATCGGCGTTTTTTGTGTATCTGAAAACGAGAGTCAGGATTAACTACCATCCCATGAAACAAATCCAAATAACAATGAAACAGTGACTTTAAAGCAAAGGGAAAAATGGTCTCACTCTCCAAGAAGACAGAAAGAGGCATTCTGCGACTTCAAAAAGTTTCTAACCCTGATGAACTCGAAGTAAGAATGAATAAATATCATTACTCCTCCCTGTAAACAGGATTAAAATACGACAATCAAGCTCCCAAATTTACGTGATAGCAATTCTGACCAACTCTTATGTTGTTCATTCGACTTTTTTTTATGGCAACTTTAAGTATGGGCATAAACATAATTCAGCCTTTGAATGATGGGAATACCTGAACAGAATCTTTAATCTTTGGGAAAATCTGTACCAAAAAGAAGAACAGATCAGCAAATGTTGTATTTAGCTTTAAAAACACAAAACAAAAACGTATAATATGTGTAGTGACCCAACTTTCAGTGGTATAGAAACAAACACTGAACAAAGAAATGTGGCTATGCACAATATCATCCTTCAAATATTTTATCCATGGAAATGTAGTTACTACACATATAAAAAACTATACCTTTTGGGTAAAATATTCAAGACGAGCATCGTCGGCTTGGATTATGGAGTCTGCATTAAATCTTTCATAAATCTGCAACACAGACAAAAGAGATAAGATGTCTATAATTATTATGTTTAAGCAAGAAAAGATTATACCTGACGGACAGGGAGCAACACTTTCTGAAGAACACCTTTGTACTCACACGCCAGCTTCATCTGCATTGTGTCAACTAAAAGTGTGATGCGGCGGTTTTAATTCAGAACTAAAACTGAAAGACAAGTGAACTAAAACCTACAATCTTTCGTTTGGAAAAGACGTAATAGTTCAATTCAAATTACAGCAATACTATCTAGCCTAGCCATCCCATCAATCATTTAATATCCTCAAAACACTCGAAATGCATGTAGTATATACTGATATGCTAAGAAAATGAATGCCCACCTTTCCTTTGTAGTTCAAGCAATTGCGGTTAAATAGATTGTTCATCTCTGAAATGCAATATTGTCTGGGTTAGTAAGAGTTTGAAATGAAATACTGTCGCCATATATGGAAAAAAAGGCAGTGGACATATCAAATACCTGGTGTTAAATAAGAACTAAGAATTATTGACTGCCGATAGAACCGTGCATGACCATCCAGATACCTAAACATAAGAAGAACATATTTAGATTCTGGCATATTTGGGCTGCGGGACACATTGAAACGTATTTGAGAGAGAGAATTGAAGTCATAAGAACTACGTACAATGGCCGGATTCGCATGACATTGGTACCATGTTGTTTCGTTGGCAATCTATTCAAGTGGTCGACGACTGTAGTAAGGAACGACCAATTCTGAAACATTATAAGAAAGCATAAGATATTAAGTCGTCACAGTACTCCATCTTTGCAAAATCTATAAATTTATCCCACAACCTACCTGCATAGATATTATGTCGGCATGATCGATAACCAAAACCTATCAACGTGTAAATGAAGAAAAATATTAGTAAGTTCAATAAGGAGAGGCAGAATACAACTTCAAATATTTGCAACTACGTATATAACTGAACAATATTGGCATCACTTGTCTGCTATATTTTTTTCAAGAAATGATAAATAAAATTACCTCGATCGAGGACAGAAAATCAACATCCCGTTCCTTGTTTTCCTCTGCTTGACCAATGGCCTAGAAAGAGTAAAATTGATAAGAGACTGAATGAAGAAGATTTACGAACTAAATCATCTTACAAAAAGATGGATAAGGCTACCTACCATATGTAACTTGAGAGGGGAAGCAATAATCATGTCTGAGGAATAGAAATCACCATACAGCTTAATGCTCTTCCTGGAATCGACAAGAGAATTCAAGTCTCAGCCAACTACCAAACTAATTTTAAACAGGAAGCCTGCAAACTGCATTGTTAAAGAGGATGTAGGCTAAAATGTACCTTGTATGCTTAATGCCGATCATAAATTCATCATCGCTGTTATTATCGCCAAAAAGGGCTTGCCAGTCAGAAGGTTTCGAAGACTTTTTCTTTGTCGAGTTCTCATTTTCGGATGTATTCTTCTTCCCATCATCATCATCATCAGAATCGTCATCACATCCAAACTCAGCACGAAACCGGTCAAGGTGTTCTACATTAGCCTGAAACCAATGAATAATATTTGAGGATAACATAGGCAACTCAAGACATAAATCAGCAACCAAGACAATATCAATTCAGAAAAACTCTACATATACCCTATATGCCGAGGATAAAAACATGTAAAACAACACACAACTCTTTCTACATCATTTGCTAATACTCGAACTAGCGAGTTCACTCTATCCGCGAGATGTCAAGTATCATAGAATAAGGCAACACAGTCACAAAGCAGATGCCAATTAAAAGGTAGATGACTGAATTTTATAAATTAATATACCCTTTGAGATTCTGGAGTTAACTGTATGAGCCTCTTAACGACGCGAAAGGCAATACTCCTCAATGGTAAAATAATCAGTACCTGGATATACAATAAACATTAAGACCAATTGGCATATGCGAGCAGTAACACATAAAGTATCTAAAGAAGAAAAGGAGAAGGGGTCACCTTTGGACGAGTAAAGCCTTGGTCCAGAAATCCATCATCAGAAAGAATTTCCTCTTCAGCCGTCTCTTGATGCTTGGCAATTTTACTTTCATTCTTCTTCACAAGATCTCTAGTTCTAAAAATGTGATTCAGCTGCATAAGAAAAACTGACTTCAATAAATCTTGAAGAAATATTAAGTCGAATGAAAAGCTACAGAAACCTCATAAAATGATCTTAAGAAAAGGAATACAGGTATGCACTCACAGAATGCATGAGGTATGCGTCCATGGCACTTGAGTCTTCTTCAGGGCCTTTAATGTAAAAGGGTCTCTTGTTCGAATGCAAAATATCCAGATAGGTGTTGCCTATAAAATCGAATACCATAATCAACGACAGAGACATAAAAAAAAATATGATCGATATACAGTACCAATTATTTCAGAAACAGGTGATTCCAAGAATCTAATACTTACAAATGGAGAAGAATCTTCTCCTTTTAGACGAGCAAAAATCTTTGCCTCCAGATTTCTCATATAACTGAAGCCAGTGCTTAAATAGCTTAGGCTTGAGGCCGTAAGTTGCATCACTCTGAATACCCTGCAAAATAAAGTTTTTAGTGGTAACGTCATCTCCTAAGTTTTTGGAAGGCAAATTTGGCAACAATATTTTTGTGTGGAGAAGGTTTATAGAACGCATACATCAAGGAAATTTGGACTTGTTCCTTTCCAACTGCAATTTGGCATGTCAATGGCAGGTGCTTCCCATTTAAATTTCCAGTTGCCTCTTGATAAAGTTTCCACTTCTTCACCAGATAATCTGTGACTAAGGTGCTCACTAAATGCACTGAACAACGAATGTATGAGTTAAAAATTGCATCAGACTAAACGATCACGTCAAACCGTAAAAACTTTTACAGAAACCACAAATTTACCTAGTAGATGAAGAAGAATCTACAAAAGATTGGCCATTGGCACTCAAGTCAAGCTCCTCATCCGTTTCACAATCCTCAGAATCTTCTTCCTCACTATGGTTATCATTGTTCTCCTGCGTTGCGTCATCGGTGATACCTCCGAGACTTTCCTGATCAGCCCCTTTAAAAAAAAAAAAAGACAAAGCAAAAGTATAACTGAGATCAACAAGCAGAACAACCATGCAACTATTGCAAGAATACTTATAAAACCAATAATAGGACATAAATGAATAGCAACAGATGAGTTGAAACCACCAACAATTTCCAATACAAGATAAGGACAAACTTACCTTCAATCTCATCATCCTCTCCATCTGTAGAGTTTTGGTCCTCAGACCCACTGTTTTCCTCCTCTTCCTCATCTTCATCTTCATCATCCTCATCCTCATCCCCTTCTGAGTCACTTTTACCTTCCTCCTCTCTCTGCCTGTATAAAGATTTGAAAACCCCGAATCAGTATCTCCTTCTCAGCCAGTACAAAAATGTCATATATGCCAAGAAACTTATCTCATACTATACAATACAATCTTAAAAGAAATTTTTTGAAAAGTAATGAACATATAAAGTTCTACAGAGGAACAAGAGTGAAGAATATAAAAATGATCCAATCTTCAAACTACCAGTTCACATAAAAGCCATGACATATAACCACCACTATTACGAAAGAGCTCCAAATGACTTAAAATTTGAAACTCCCTCAACAAGCGACCTAATAAAAGTACCTTCTTTTGTTCATATCAGCAACAACCTTGTTAGATGAACCGAGAGACGCCAGCAAATTATCATACGTTGTGGGCTCTCTGTAAACCATTGCTTCTGGTTCGTCCTCCATAGGCTCTTCTTCGGATGAATCTACAATACCCAAAAGAGTTTACTTGAGCTGTGTACAATACAATCTGGAAACACTTGCAGAAACAACCAAGAGCTATCTTACCTGAATCCTCTGTTGGAGGTTCGGAAACCACAGCCTTCTCAGCACGTTTACACTTCTTCACATCCCGTTTCTTATCAAATTTCTCCCGCGGCCTGTGCCTCTTCGTTGCGTTAGAGTTTGGAGCCATCTGAGGGAGGCTAGATGAGAGATTAAAGGAGGAGTTGTTGATCCTTCTTGCTTGTTTCAGCGGTAATAATTCAGGCCTATCTAGTTCTGAGGGTATGCCAAATCTCACCGAAATTTAGGGTTTTTAGGGAAGGGGATGCGAAATCACGGTTGGTCAGAGGGAAATCGAAGAGTAACAACTAGAAAGGGTTTAGGGTTTATCGAGTTGTTCTGGGTTTCAATTGAAACACGGTCTGGCTTTTCCTTCCTTTTCTGATTAAAGTTAAACCAAACGAATTAAAAAACATCTTTTTACTTCAGTAAATATAAAAGAACTTATATTGTTACTACAAAAAGAAAACAAGACACAGACTGTCGTCGTTTCGACTTTAGACAAATACACCATTATCAGTGTCGCATTTGTCACCATTCATCAATATGTCATCATAATGACCATCCATCGCTATAATTAAAGGCTAACAAAGAGCATTAACAAGTACTATTAAACTCCAATCTTAATCTCCCTAGAGAGCTTAAAGCTTGCTTGTTGCGAAATCTCAAGTAGAAATTTGGAATGAATCCATCAAGACATAAACCACTTTTTACTAGTTGAATTCTATCTAATTCCGTTCTCATTGTGAAGTTCGTTAATCGCTTTAAGAGAGGAAATGAGGACAAACTTGGCGATTTCTTTAGGGGAAGAACTATTTTTTTTTTCACAAAAAGGGTGGAAAAGGGAAACGATAAAATGCATCACTGAAGACAATTGCTATCGAGACTAACCAAACTGTAATTTACACTGTATAGTATGGTGTCGTAGCAATTGTCTCGAAGAGATTACACTGTAGAGTATGGGGAAATAGATCGTCATTATATGTCTACAATATCATATCATCATCAATTCATCATCATTCAATATATTTTTCATTGTTCATGGCAGAATCCTAGGCATATAGTAGGTTTCAAAGTTGGAGGAGTGGTGGGGTTAAATGAGCCATGTTCAATTGTTCACTGATTCAATAATGCAAGATTTATAACTCGGCGAGTCTCAGCTCCTTGTGGTCTGGCCTTTCACGTCTTTTGCACTTTTCTCCTCGTTCTTTTCTTATTACAGTGCCCCTGTGGCACATTCTCATTGGCTATCACCTCTTTCACTTTTATATAACATGGCCTGTTCTCTCCCCCGTGGAACATTTTCCCTTCATCGTTTTGTAACCAGACGCACTTATCTGGTCCTCTCTATGTATCTCTATGTATTCCCATATTTCACACTTTTTATTTATACAACTCATTTTATAGAAATTCAAAACTTTATAAAATCTCTCAATTGCACATCTCTTCTCCTTCACATAGCGCACCACATTTCACACTTGCACCAAAAAAATATAATCTCTATCTCTCTCTCTCTCTCTCTCCCACATATTACAATAAGAGAACAAATAAAATAAAAAGAACATGACAGTTTACGGCACAAATCCAGCGTCGGCTAACGACCTAGCTCCAAAACTGGAGTACATCACACGCAACCACAATGTAAGACCGGGGCTCGCTACGCGCCGCCCATGGAAGCAGATGCTCGACCCCCGCTCGTTCAACTTCCCGCGTAAACTAGCAACCGCGATCAGCAGAATCAGAGACAACACCGTCTACTTCCAAACCAATTACACCATAGTCGTCCTCTCCTCCGTCTTCCTCAGCCTCATTTGGAATCCATTCTCACTCCTTATCCTACTCGCTTTACTCGGTGCATGGCTCTTTCTCTACTTCCTCCGTGACGAACCGCTCACGGTATTCGACCGCGAGATCGACCATCGTCTCGTCCTTATCGTCATGTCCGTTCTCACTCTCTCGATCCTTTTCTTAACGGACGCGAAGCTCAATATTACGGTAGCCGTCGTGGCCGGTGTGGCGGCTGTGTTGTGCCACGCTGCTGTTAGAAAAACCGAAGATATGTATCAAAACGACTCGGAAACTAGTCCTCTAATTCCTTAAAAAAAAAATGATCTTCATTTTGCTAGACTGTTTCCAATTATTACCACTACGATTGTTGATTTAAGTTTAGTTAGGTTTGTTTTTCTGTGTTACAATATTGTAACCATGATTGTTTATCAGCGTTTACGTTTGTGTTTTTTTGTTATGAGTTATGATATGATTAAATTATTAAATGATTTCGTCCCAAAAAAAGAGTAGCTTATAAAACACGACAAAACAATCGTATCTTTCAGTTTGATCAAATATTCGCCCCACTAGGAAGCTTATCTCTATAACTGATATGAGCATGACAGTAGTGACAACTTAAACCGGATAAATTAAACTCCGGCCGGTTTGGTTTTATTCGCGATTTCCAACTTGGAAAGTTAATACAAGACATTTTTACATCAAGAAGAATCCAAAACAATCCACTTACGTGCATGAACCATTCAACTTTAGGCCTCTTACAAATTTTCTCGATTACATGAAGAACAGTATAATATTCGTAAAGCAACAAAAAGATCTTCAATACTTTCTTCTCTTCACCAAAATTACTTTAACAAGATTTAGCTAGTGGAACTTGAAGAGCAAGAGGCAACAAAGGTTCATGAACAATCCCAACAGACAACTTGCAATTTTCAGAGCTCATCATCTTCTCCTTCTCCTCTTCTTCTTCCTCTGCTGATATAATCTCGTTGATTATTCCCACTAATATCCTCTCCATCGCTTCACCATCGGTCCAATCTCTAACCGTGGCCTTAACCAACATCGGATTCTGACTAATCAAATCCCAAACCGGGAAGTTCTTCCTTGGCATCATGTAGTCTTCACCTTTGAGCTTGAGACTCGGACAGTAATCACCAGCACCATCTCCAAGATATATCATCTTCTTCTTATTATTCCCTTCCTTTGCAAAAGAAGCTTGAATCCTCTCAATTATCAAACCCTGAATAAAATTCAAAATTAATTATATTAACAACACAAAGTGGGTCCCATGACAATTGGCAAAATATTTGTTGTTTCTTTCTAAAATGGAAGAAATCAGAATACTACCTTGCACATGTTAGGAGGGCAACGAGAGCAACCATGGGAGGATTTGGTGAAATCGTGGTAAGGAGAGACTCTCAATCTTCCTTGTTCATCTACAAGACTTGGATTTGTGTTGATTTCAGAGAAGTACTCGCTAATCCCGAGATGCTCAGTGATTGTTTCGATGAAGAACGTGTTCGCGTCGCTCACTATTCTCAGCTCGCACCTGAAAAAACCGAACCGATAAATTAACATTCCGATCGTAAACCGAAATTTTGGGGAGGTTTGATTTTGGAAATTGGATTAATTACCCTAAAGCATGAGCGGATTTGATGGCGGGGATAACACGAGGATGAATTGGGATTCTTCTCAGGACTTGTTTGATCTCTTCAATGGTTTTGCCATGATCGTGAAGCTCCTTCATCATCCGATCCTGTTATCATAAGATCTTAAGGTTTCGCTTTGAACACCGAGAAACCGGAAACAGAGGAGAGAGTTAGAGATGGAGGAATTAACGAACCATGAGAGAGTTCCAAGGCATTGTAGGGAGAAGTTGGTTGAACAAAACAGTGAATCCGAGCTCGTCGACGACCCAATTATCGCTGTCCACGTCGATGATCGTCTTGTCGAAATCGAAGACGATGACAATGTTGTTATTCTTATTAGCCATTTTTATGTGGAAAACTTAAAACTCGAGAGTTTTTTCGATTGCTGTGTTGTTGTTGTTATTGAATGTGGAGAAGAGGAATGTGATTTATATATATACAGTGGAAGAGTGAGAGAGGAAAGAGACGAATAAAGGATTTTTCTGGGGAAAGATGCCATTCGAATATTACCTTTGAGAACCAAATTCGAAGAAGGAATTGGAATCGTACACTAATCTGATTTCCTAATTTTGAACCGTTCGATGTGGTGATGATTAAGGTCAAACATTGACTAAGTGTGATGATCCGACGGTGTTGACGACTCTTGGTTTGTTTTGTGGGTGTTATTTAGTTTGGCTTGTTTTTTATTAATTTTGGGTGGGATTTTAGGCAGTTGAGAAGACACGGGAATGAGATAAAAGAATATTCTACCTAATTAATCCGTTTCTCGATTTTTCCTTCTTTTTTTTTGTTTATAAAAAATCATCCGTTTCTCGATTTTTATTTCATTAAAGGAAAATAATTTGCCGACAAAAAAGAAGGTAAATAACTATTTTTTACCAATTTGTTTTTTTTTTTTCTGTTAACTCAGTCAAATGCAATGAATATATTGTTTCTGTATTTTTTGTTATGTATGTGTAACATTTCAATTTGTTTATACTACACCAAATTAGAATGAATACAATATGCATGGGTAGTGGGAGTTGCATCAGAATTCAGAAGGCACTACCGAAGCAAGTTGGATGGAATATTGAGCGACACATCTGAGATAAAGGAATATTCTCGGGGTTTAAGGACATGACATATCAGCTTTCTTTGGTTGGCATCTATTTGATTTCTTCAATTTATCAATTAAAATTATATTCTAAATATTAACAAATCTCTCAGTCGATCACCAAACAAGTCTCAGTATGACAACACAACACTGAACGTGTATATCTCCATCTATTAAAATATACAAATTTCTGGAATTTTATCAGACGTTATCAGAAGAGAAGATCCGCATCAAACTCTTCCTCACGTCTTTGGATGACTACAAGTTAATAAAATAAAAAGTTAATTCACTCGACCAACTAGTTCAATGGCTTACTTAATTACGTTTCATTTTATTTTTTTAACATAAATTATACTGATTACGTCCTCTCTTGGTGTATTGCATTGCATGGCCAATTTATATTGCTCTGCATACACTGCTTGGGAAGGTAGGAGATTTATATATTCTCCACATCCTCTTAAACAAAGAGCATTTTCACTAGTATCTGAATTAGTTTAACGGCAATCCCTTCTCTTCTCGAGTTTTTGTTTTCTTAGTTGCTAATAATCATCACAAATTTTAAGAGCATGTATGCTAAAAACCAAAAATTGTTCTTACACCTTAAAATATGAGTGTATAACTACTTTTTATTGAGGGTAGCCGGTAAAAATCACAAAAGGATGTCTGAAAATACAATTAAAACAGAGACATACAGAGCAGAAGGTGTTCAAGAGGAAGAAGATATGACAAAAGAATCAATAAACAAATTTGAAGCACAACCCTCCCCATCGTCTCATACTAAAAATCCCACACACCATAAGCTGTTTCTTAAAAGAGTAAACTAAAAAAAAAAATTATCCTTCGCAACCCAAAAAAAAAAGGACAACCTAGGTACGAGGGATGGTTCGGATTTTTAAGACAATTTCCCTTATGGTAAAAAAGGTCTCTTTCTCTTCTTTTCTTTCCCAACCCAACATCTTATCTTCTAATTCATGACTGTTGCTTCTGGACCGCGTCGCAGTGACTAGTCAGGCTCTGGTCTTGTCACACCATAATTCTGTTACTACTACACCTTTTCTGGTTATATCATCACTTTGGCAGTTAAAAGAGAGAGAGAGAGAGAGAGAGAGAGAGATAGAGAAAGAGAGAGAAAGAGAGAGAAAGAAAGAGAGCCTGAAAAGGAGCAAAGGTAAAAGTTAATCTGGAGCAAGGTGGTTCCATGTTTTTTTACTTCTCTCTCCCTCCCTCTCTATCCACTTCATGCATAATACATGTACAAGCTGTTTGCTGCTGCACAAGCAATTGAGTTCTCTGTTGGGTGCCAAGCCATATGCAGCAACTTGGTTGTGAAATCGTATGCGTTCCCATTCGTTTCTGCTCCGGGGCTCTCTGATCCTGCGTCCAAATACAAGTTTTCACTCAACAAGAAAAAAGATAGATAGAAGATTGCTTGAGTCTTACGCTTACTACTCCCACTAACCTCGTCTAACCGCACGTGTCATACTGCTCATAGATCTGGAAGGTCTTGCAGGTGTCTGGATTTGCCTCCTAATGAAATCCATTACGCAAAAAGTTTTGCATTTCATCAATATCAACTTTTATCACTTGGGATTTTAATTATCAATGTTCTCTGTTCTTCGATTTACCTCATCGGGTTTTTGCTGGCTTCCAAAGTTGCGGCTTCAGTACTTCCTGGAGACGTTCCAAATACGCGGAATAGATTGCTGGTTCAGAAGGAAAATAAATAGGATAGATTTGTCATTTGTTCATCTCTTACACAAGATAGAAAAAAAGAGTACTGTATTGTATTGACCAAAGACAAGTAAGCAAACCTGTACGAGCCTGTTGCTACCCTCGTTCCATCGCCACTCAGACAACACTCGAACTTATCAAATATGGAGTCGTTTTCATATAGATCGCATAGCTGCAACCGGGTAAAAAGAGGTTAGTTTTCAAGAAATGATCATCAAACAAGAGATGCCACAGATAAAAGCTCTCACCTTGGGTCTCAGATGTTCATGAACCTGGTAAGATGCAACTGGACCAGAATCCATGTTTATGTCCCACAGCTGAAACGTTGTAAAGGGTAGAAGATATCAGAAAGAACTGAAGAATACACCTATATTGGCCTACACTCAGAAAACTTTCCAACCTTGAGCGTCATGTAATCGCGACTAAGTATGTACCGCCCATTATTTGAGAATTTAATATCTGAAATTGAGGCAATTATCTCTGTGAAGAATGATCTTGAACCAGGTGCTTCCGGTTCTTCAAATCTGTGATATGAAACAACAACTTCAGTGATCTGAAACATAAGCTTAATAATCTTCACTTCCAAGTCATTCGTCAAAAGATAAGAGACACATTTGGAAATTAACCTACTTATTTATATTCCCTTCTTACTAAAATTTCACCTTAGCTAAGCAACTCTACATATCCCGGAAAAGACTACCCTCTTCGATAAGGGATAAGGTAGACAGAACTTACAATTTCGTATGAGAATCACACAGAGCTGACTGCCGCATATCAATCAGACGGATGGAGCCTTTTGAACTGCTATATGCGAGCATGTTACAATGGATTGGATGAAACTCAGCAGATGTAATAACCTCTGCAGAGACCATACAGTATTTAAAAGCATGCTTAGCAATTTTTATATAGTAAACATGAAAAGACGAGAAATTCAAAATAAGGAGGTTGTTAACATATGAATCAATATCAAGACAATCAAAATGTAACTTCGAAAAGAATAAGGGAAAAGAGCATACCAGTTAAGTCCTCCATGTTTGTGGGCTTAACATCAACAATATTGAAACTCTGGTTGCTGATTTCCAGATTCCAGAGATTCACTCGCAGATCATCAGCCGAAATGAAGGTTTCTCCATCGCTTCAAAGATTAGGGAACAAAACATTATCGCAAGGAACAAAAAAATCCACTGTAAGGCATGCATGTACAAGTTGTGAAATTTAAGATTATGAGAATTCGATAATGAGAATGATAGCATGACCAGAGTTGAAAAGAGATGTAAAATAAAATTCTTAAAATTTAAATAGATTATTAGCATTGTTTCCTGAGATGGAAAAGCAAGGACAATGACATTTAAAAAGTGTTTAAGAAGATATCGAGAGTAATACATATAATCCGTGGGTAAACTTAGGGAAAAGATTACCTGCTATTTGAAATTGAATTAATATGGTAATCATGAGCATGAGCATACACTCTTCGGCATCGAGCCACAAGGCTGGTCTCCTGGCTAGTCACCTGAATAGGTAAAACGACCCATTATTTCAAGCAAAGTATCAATTGACTATTGCATGTCATGACGTTGGTACTAAGCTTTAGTTATGACAAGTAGAAAAAAAGGAAGTCAGTAAATTCCCTACGTTTTACAACTTCAAGCAGTAGGTTCATCAACACGATGACAACATTAACAACTTCCAATCTCAAAGTACAAATCAATCAAATAGATTACTGGACCAACTCTCTTTTACTGGAGAGGAGCTAAAGGAAAGACCAAAAAATATAGTGGACAGGCTGGATATCTATATGCATTTAGTCTTCAAAATCCTGAAGCTAAATTCATCTCATTTAACACCAAAAAGAGAAGAAAAAAGATATTGCATCAAGTACAACTACCACAGGCAAACGCAGAGATGGAATGCCTCCTGGCGGGAAAGAGAATTCATTGCTCATGTAGCCATGTGGTTCGGCATGTACTCCATTTGCAACTATTGGAGGAGGGCTACTTGAACTTGGAGTACTGTTGTTTCCTCTAACTTTGGGATCAATATTCATTTCAGAAATTTTCTTTATCTTCTTCTCTTGTACCTGTTTGATCCCAAATAAGTGGAGGAGTCAAATTATAGGAGGAAACAAACAAAAACTATTTATCTTTTTTTATGGAGTCTTGGACACATAAACAACCAGTTTCTAGACCATTTTCACATGTGACACCTAATATATTTCGAAATGAGATAAAAGGCCCATCCAGATGTCTCACCTTCCAATATTTGATGGTTTTATCGTTTGTGGAAAGCAGAAACAATGCACCATTTGCTGGCTGACACCATCTGATTTTGTTGATTTTCTCCTCTATTTCCAAACTCTTGAGATAGTCAAACTGAAAGAGATTGAAGAGGGTGATTATTTTATAGCAGTAGCAACACAATCATTCGTAAGTGAACTCTGGTGATAAGTTTAGATCTACCTCTGGTTCATGACTCTGAAATTCTGTTTTATATCGAAACTCAGGATGCCTAACTGTGTAATCCATCTCCTCAAGATCCCTCCTGGACCCACCATGCTGAAAATACCATTGCACAAGAATGCATTACAGCACAAAACAATTTTTGAAAGTCAACTGAAGTAAATCATGCAGAATAAAAAGGAACGCACATCTTTAATATCTGTCCTCTCAAAAAGAACTACTCGGCCCCCACGGTCACCAGTTGCAAGATGGTCTCCACTTTTATCGAATTCAATGGCTGAAATGATGTCAACTGCGGAAGAAAGTTGTACAAACAGAATCGTCACACAAGAAGTCATCACTAAATTGTAGGAGCTAAACATATTAAAATCATAAACTGCATCTCAAATATTCTTCTCCCTAACACGGAGAACTAAAGAAGCTTCGTACACTAGCATGAGAAATGTACAGCACATTATTTGTTTTCTCATACTGAAAGTGCAGCTGAAAAGTGAAAACCACCTAGTTACACTAATACTTCAGGAAATCTCATCAGCCAGAGGAGAGCAACTTTAAACCAACTCAATAATACAAATCCAATTCAATTCATGAACCAGAAATGCGTAACCCTTCACACTTCTAGCTCGACACAAAAATCATCATACGCTTTCCTTTGTTGTTATGCAGAGTGTAGAAAGCATTCTATCACTGGAAACAGTAACCATGGCTATGGCATTGAACAGACGGAAGCTTCAAGCTAAATTACCCTCCTAATTTCAACTTAATACTATCATTAGTGACATTACCAGTCAAATCTGCAAAAACTGAGAGCTCCAAACCTCATAACATTCAGTTGATGAAGCAACGGATATGCTCTCATACCCAAACAATCCAAACTATTGTCCCGGCTCTCACACAACTTAGAACCCCTACTAACTGTGCAATCGAAAAACCCAAGTCACAGAGATTCATCAATGGCTCACTAATCCCTATCATCCAAATCAGATCCAAACCACTAATCAAACCCCTTAGTCCTCAAATACACTCCGGATCTAAAAGAAAATGGGAAGCAAACTCATCACCTCGAGAATATTTCACAATCTATTACGCGTACGCAATTAATACCTTCCTGGACTTCTTCTCCAGCGGTTCGCTCGCCGAAGACCTGAGAGAATCTCCAATCTAAAGACGGAGGAGGGCCACTAGTAGCGGCGGAGGAAGCGGCATCGTCACCACCGTTCATTTCTCTTTTGCGCAGATAATCCAACAAAAGGGGCTACAAAAATAAAAAATCCCAGCTTCGGGAAAATAGAAATCTGAGCTTCCAAATCTTAATCACCGAATCGAAGATCGCGTCATCACCATAATCAAATCCCTTGATTCACATTCCATTCCATAGTTTTATTCATCGATTTTTGCGATTGTAGCACTTGATCGATGATTAATTTCTCCTCTCTCTCTCAAGAAAATGGAATTTCGGTCTCTCTGTAGAAAATGGTGGAGCAAGAGAAGAAAAAACGCCTTCCCCTTTTCTCTCTCTAAAAGGATAAAATTGGAATTACAACTTTTTTTCCTCTCTTCGGGACCAAAACGAAGGAACAAATCGTATAAGTTAATGTCTAATTTACTATAATGTTTTTGTCCTGATATAAAAGTATTATTAGAGTTACATGCGGTGACATAGTTTTCATTGACCACTAAATATAAGTGGACGGTGACATGTGATTTCTCATATCATTGGTCAGTGGTGGAGGTGCGCTTGCCACTGCTATATGATGGGGGATATGTATAAATATCATTAGTACTAAATATTTTCTAAAATAATAATTAGTTTTGTGAATTGATCCTAAATAAAAATCCACTGCACATTGTTTTCTGGGTTAATTTGGTAGATATCAGTATTGGGCTTCAATATTAGGTAAACGTCAATAGCAGTTTTAAAATTAGTGTGTACATCTCACGCCGCTATAAAAAGTCTAAAAAGGTCATCATCATTTTGGCAGGATTTTGCAATAGAAGCTTCACTTATCACAAACCCAAACCGTAAATCTTTATACATGAGCCGAGTAATACTATCGCATCAGTATCCTAACTTTTATAGATAAATTAATTTCAAAAACTGAATCTTCCTCTTAATTGAATTTGTGGACAGAAATTTGCCAAGTATGTTTAACCTAATAAACCTTTTTCAGTGGTCTATTTTCGTTTATAAAGAGTAAAGACCATTCTATATTGATCTGTACTTTTACTTTCAACAACAATGTCTGATACTGGTTTACCTAACCTCTGTTTAAATTAATAGTAAACCGAAATTCAGGAGAAATAGAGAAGAAATTTATAAAATATAAAGAGTACATTGGTATACAATCTCAAATAGTATGCATATAAATTAATTATCAGTACAATCACCTAATAACTATAGTCTACACAAGAAACAATAACATATCTACGCCAAACCGTAAAACATAAAAATTAAACCCTAAACTTTACACACTAAATCTTAAAAATTATACCCTAAACCTTGAACACTAAACCCTTAACTTTACACACTAAATCTTAAAAATTATACCCTAAACCTTGAACACTAAACCCTTAACTTTACACACTACAGCCTAAAAATTAAATCCTAAACCTTAAACAATAAACCCTAAACCCTAAACACAGTTCTAAAATCACATAACCTATTATTGTCAATAGTAAACCCTAAACACTAAACAGCGAACCCCAACCCAAAAATAATAAACTCTAAACCCACAACACATATAAAGCACTTACCTAAAAATCAATAACCTAAAAATCATTCACTTCCTTAAACTCAATTAAGAAAAAATGACTACTATGACATGCCAAATAAGTTGAACAAGGGAGCCGCAGATCTAAAGCGCTGACGCCGGAGATTCGTCCTATGATTTCTCCAACTTTGGTTTTCTCCGAGTTACTTACAATAACAACACCACTGTCATTCTGTGTACGAAATAGACATCTCATATAGGTCTGATAGTATGAATCGTAACTATAGTTCGACAAACTTTTGGTTTTTATGGCTGCAATAAAAAACCGACTTTGAGTAATGGCCTTCCAGATAAGCAGCTTCAGGATTATTCTTCAGAACAGTGGCTAGAGATTCAAGACAAGCTTCTCTCTGGCTTGGAGAACCATCAAGAAGGTTCACAAGCTTCTCCAAAACTCTGAGAAGCCGTTGATCTACACTTGTTCCACAAGCATGAGCGATAATGCTCGCAGCAAGACCACTAAAATTCTCATTCTCGCTATTCAACAACGAGAAGAGAAACTCCATGTTCTTCTCTTGGAGGAAGTCATACTTTGGAGCTACATTAGATTGAAATATCATTCTAAGGGAATGAGCACCTGCATCTACTATCTAAACCACAGATTACAAAAAAATAAGAAGAAAAATGAAAAAAGGATCAAACAAACATTCCAAGGCCAATGTTTTAATCCCTCATAAAGGTGGAAACTTTTTGATAAAAGCTAGAAAGATCGAAGAACAAATCTCAATCGTTTAAGCTTCATGTGAGAGACCAACTAGTGATTTCAAATCTGGATAACCATGTGGGGGAAAAGAATTAGACCTTTTTTCAAAAGTTAATAAATTTTCAAATTTCACCTTTTCGTCAGGATTAGTGAGAAGACGAAGCAGATGAAGGAAAACTCCGGCGTCGACAACAGCTTGAACTCCGGCTTCAAACCCACAAGCGAAACTACCGAGCGCCGCCGCAAATTGAACGAGGATGTTGTTGCATTCATCGGAATCGTCTGCATCAGCGAGAGCGGAAGCTATGGCGGGACAGCTCCGAGTTTGAGGAAAGAGAGTTTTTTGGTACGATTTCCGATAATCTGGTTTTTGACCTCGCGAAGGGCCTTAAGCTTGATTTCAGGGTCAGAGGAAGAGAGACGAGTGAACACATCGGCTTGACGGTTATCGGAGGAGGAGGAAGTGGTGGTAGGCATGGCGGAGATTTAGTTTCTCCGGGAAGTGAGGAAATCGGTTAAAAAAGCTTAATTGAGCTCTTTTTCTGTAGCCGGCTTATCATTGTAGCTTGCGGCTCATAAATCGGCTAATATGATATGAAGATATTTTAAGTAATATTGTAGAACTTATTGACTATATTGTAGCCTATCATCCGATATGGATATATTCTTAATATTATGTTTTTTATGTATATTGGGTGCAATTTCTCTTGTTTTCTTCCAGCAAGAGCATTACAAGAAAGTTCTATATAATATAGGAAGTGTTCAGAACATTTTCCTTAGGATTAGAATAATCATTGTCTCACACAATTTATGTTTGCTATTTTCAACCCAACATTGTTGTATTTTAGGGTCAAAATTAACTCCTGAGATTACCCAAGCGGTAGGAAACGATTAGACCAGTCCAAAACCGGTGAATAATCAAACGAATTCAAAGGTATAATACTAAAATAATCTATACTAATTAGTTTAGTTTTATTTTGGTTGGTGAATAAATCAAAACAACAAACTGAAAGTTGAAAGGCAAGAGAGAGGACTGACGACGATGCAATTAGTAATGACTAATTACTAATTAGTTACCGCTTAGCAGTAACAAATTAAAAGAATTAAACCTGAACCGGATATAACCGAGAAGTTGAACCAGTCAATCCAATTCGATTTAGGAAACAATAGTTTAACAGATTTTAAAAGTTAAAACTTTTCTTCGTCTCATCTGCGGAAGAAAACACGCTCGAGAGATCTTTCCCAAATTCGACGGAGCCCTAATTTTCCGATCTCCACATTTCTGCCGATTGATCAACAAGCGAATTCCGAATCAACTGATCGCTATGGGTAACACCGACAAGCTGATGAACCAAATCTTCGATCTGAAGTTTACGTCCAAGTCTCTGCAGAGGCAAGCGAGGAAGTGCGAGAAAGAGGAGAAGTCAGAGAAGCTAAAGGTGAAGAAAGCCATTGAGAAAGGGAACATGGATGGTGCTCGGATCTACGCCGAGAACGCCATCCGCAAGCGCAGCGAGCAGATGAACTACCTCCGTCTCTCATCTCGCCTGGACGCTGTTGTCGCTCGGCTCGATACTCAGGCCAAAATGGCCACCATCACCAAATCCATGACTAACATCGTTAAATCTCTCGAATCATCCCTCGCCACCGGTAATTCACTTTCATTACTTTCCAGCAATCTCTTCTATGTAATCCACAAATTAACAGAATCATATTGCTTCTTCACCATTTTTGACTGTGTCGTGCTCTTAGCATTATGTATGGATGGAGAAAAGTCTGCTCCTTTTTGTGATTAACGAAATATTGGGCTTGATTGATATTCTGAGTCTTAGAAAGTTTGATTTTTAATGAAATGTTGCTCAGATTAGTGTAGCGAGTTCTATGATATGAGTTGAGGATTGAGTTGTATCTGTTAAGTGTGATGATGCTTAAGGTAATCTGGACTTGATTGATTTTTTTGGTAGAGAGGAAGAGGTTGTTTTATGGAAACACAACGTTGCACGATTGATTCATTGTAATGTAGCAGCTCATCTTCTGATTTGTTCTTTGAAACAGGCAACTTACAGAAGATGTCAGAGACAATGGATTCGTTTGAGAAACAGTTTGTGAACATGGAAGTCCAAGCTGAGTTCATGGAGAACGCAATGGCTGGCTCTACTTCATTGTCCACTCCGGAAGGAGAAGTCAACAGCTTGATGCAGCAAGTTGCAGATGATTATGGTCTTGAAGTCTCTGTTGGGCTGCCTCAGCCTGCTGGTCATGCCATTCCTACCAAGACCGAGGAGAAAGTTGAAGAGGACGATTTGTCAAGGAGACTCGCTGAGCTTAAAGCCAGAGGATGATTACCTAACTTAACCAAAACAGTGTGTTTGGATTCTACTTTTATCGAGATGCTGTTGCTATTAATCCCTGAACATAGTGGGATGTTTGTGTAAATTGCTCACTCTGGAATGTGATTTTGTTTATAAGAAACCTCGAGTGTGCTTTTTTACAATGCCATTAGATCTGTCAAAGCTTAATTTGCACTAGAACATAGCATATTCTAATTAAGTGTTTGATTCGGTGACAATTCAGCGTCCATTTTCTTTCCTGCATTTTTCTTATACTAGGAGAGCAGTGAGACATTTTCTTGACTGCTTGCTTGATCGTCCAATTGAAAGGTATAACCGTATAAGCATTGGTTCTCTTGATGATCTTCAATTTGTTCAGGTCCATAATTCGTAACACTGAAGTTTGATTTTGAAGATGAGAAAACGAAGGTTGTCTCAAATGTATTTCTCGTTTCTTATCCTGAAATTAAAATTGTTCACTAGCAATAATCTTTCTTAAACTCGCAGGAGATATTAATTTGTTCTTGCCAAACTCTCTGAACTTTTTAACAAGCTTTCGGTTGATTTCTGGAAATGTGCAAAATAGATGAGGCTAGAGTTATTGAGTGTGTTAGCGAATGGGGATGCCAGAACAGAGCTCGAGTTTCTGAGTTTGCGTTTGAACTTTGAACTGATGATGTTGCACTGCATACAGGCCACAGCAACTTGGTGGGAGGAAGATTTGGAACTTTTAGTATCATCTGATTTGTCTCTAGCTGAATCAGTCAACGTTCTGAGAAGTGAGAAGTTTCTTTCCCATGTCTTGTTTTTATAAAAGATCTTGTTTTTTCTACATTTTTTGTATACACTTGTATGTAGTAATTTAGTTTGTGTATAGTGTAGTATGATTCTACGTGAAGAAAAATGGAAAAGTTTTGATCTACTTTTACTGCAAAAGGATATAAAAAGTTATGGTTTAAAGATGCTTTTGGACACTCCATAGTTTAGTGGGAGAATCACTGAAAAAGATTTGTTGCCAGTTATTTGACCTTTTTAATAAGGATGCACATGGAGACAATTATTAACCATGGTTATATAAATAGTACTGTATGTACGACAATGTATTATTCTAGTGTCAAATTACTTAACCAGAAGAGTCCATTGTTGCTTTCATTATAACACTGCCCATTTTAAAAAGAATCGTCACATGTATTCTCTTTACAGCAAAAGTTAATATAATATCCATCCATCAAAAGTTTAAAAACGTTTTCAACTATATAATGTTAATAATATTTGAATATAAGTTAATTATATAATTAAATTTAAATTAAAGAAAAAAAAGAATTTAATTATTCATAAAAAAAAAAACACAAATGTGATATGAATATCTCATGGATTCTAAAAAACTCTCAAGTAAGATCAGAATCTCAACAAAATTAATGTGAAAACATTAGAGAATAGGAATCTAATGTTGTAGATTATTTCTAGTATATGATATTTTTCTAAGACAAGGATGCACCTAGACAGGAAGGCCATGCGTGGTGCATGTGCTTCTCATATTATATACCTTTTCCAAATAAATAATTCAACAGCAAGTATACATAAGTTTGGTAGCTTTATAATTTGTAAATTGACTGCAAAGTAAAAAAAATAAATGGTAACTTATCCATGACCTCTAAGGTACAGTATTAATACCCACGTTTGCGCTTCGCCACACTCTCACACAAAGCAAAACAGAGTACTGCAAAAAAAAAAAAGACAACAACAAAAAATAGTTATGGCAATTTCATCTTCTTGTCCAACCGTCAAAGCCGTTAACTCACGGTGGACATCACCATCTCCGTCACCAGTATCCAAATTCGCCGTCTTCCGTCGCCCCTCTCTGTTACCAGAGCTCCGTTACACACCAAACGTCAGACTAACGGCGACCAACGCCTTGAGAACCGCTGAGCAAGCGACGTTGGCGGAGGAGGATCATAAATTCTCTACCGCCGGATCTGATGAAGACGATTCAGCGTTGCTTCCAAAGCCCAGGATCCTCGTCGCCGAGAAGCTCGGAGAAGCCGGAGTCAATCTCCTCCGAGAATTCGGCGACGTAGACTGCTCTTACGATCTTTCACCGGAGGATCTGAAGAAGAAAGTGGCGGAGAGCGACGCTTTGATCGTGAGAAGTGGAACGAAAGTGACGAGGGAAGTGTTTGAGGCGGCGAAGGGGAGGTTGAAGGTGGTTGGTAGAGCCGGCGTTGGAATTGACAATGTCGATCTGCAGGCGGCGACGGAGTACGGTTGTTTGGTGGTTAATGCTCCGACGGCTAATACGGTTGCTGCCGCTGAACACGGTATTGCTTTGCTTGCTGGTATGGCACGTAACATTGCTCAGGCGGACGCTTCCATTAAAGCCGGTATGTTCCACAATACATTCCGATCAGTATAATTTTTAAATAAATGATTAAAATTTAAGTAGATGTAGATCTAGATTTTTTTATATAAAAAAACAGATAGTACAAATAGGAAGTCATTTAATTGAATAATTTAAAGATCATATTTTTGATTGATTAATTGGATTTTTTTCTTTATTGGGTTGTTCGTTAATCATTGTCATAGTAATGGTTTTACTTTGGTCATTAGATCTTGAGCAACATGGTCCATTTGAGTAGCTACAATTTAGCGGTGTTAGTGTATTTTCGTAATTATTGCTCAACTGAAGTTGGTGTTAAGACATTATAGCATATAGGCGGTAATCTGTCGTTGTATAATAGAAAAGTCATATTGATGTTAAAGAAAAAGAAAAGTCACAAAAGTCATACTAGTAGTAAAAATAAACAGAAAATTCGTTTACGTAAGTAGAACAACACATGCATATCAAATGCGAGACTGTTCTCATCATGACTCTGTGTACGTATAATCTCTGATAGAAAAAGGTTAAATATCATTTTCCTCCCGGTAAAAGAAAACAACTACTTATTTCACCACCTGCCAACACTTGATATAACAAAATTCACTTGTCAGTCAAAGTGCCATATGGAACCAATAATAACTTCTCTTATACTCATTTTAATGTGTCCTCCAATCTTTTCACCAACCAAAAACTATTGGAGTCTTCTTGTCTTTTATTACAAAAATTATTAACTTATCTGTACAAGAATATTCTTCTGTTCAATAATATACATTTTGTAGAATATTTAATCATAGATTTATATACAAGTGGGGTTCTTTGAAAAATAATCAATTGAACAAACTCAATTATTTGATTCTGGTATTACTGTGAAATAGTCAGCCAAAGCATCGATATCCGATCGAGACAGAAAGTGGAGAGATCAAACACAATATGATAACTCTTTTTCTAAAGTAAATATTAATAAAAATATCTTAAAATCGACTCTTTTTTTCTGTAAATTATAAAATTTTCCTTTTATAAAAAAGTCAGAGTAAAAGATGAAGTTTGATTATTTGACTTTTTCCAGGAAAATGGGAGAGGAGCAAATACGTCGGCGTATCTCTCGTCGGAAAAACGTTAGCGGTGATGGGCTTCGGGAAAGTCGGGACAGAGGTGGCGAGGCGAGCCAAGGGTCTTGGCATGAACGTTATCTCTCACGACCCTTACGCACCAGCAGACAGAGCCAGAGCCCTCGGCGTCGAGCTTGTCTCCTTTGACAAAGCTATTGCCACCGCCGATTTTATCTCCCTACACATGCCGTTAACTCCGGCAACGAAGAAGGTCTTCAACGACGAAACCTTCTCCAAGATGAAGAAAGGCGTCCGTCTCGTCAACGTCGCTAGAGGTGGCGTTATCGATGAAGACGCTCTAGTTAGAGCTCTCGACGCAGGGATCGTCGCTCAGGCAGCGTTAGATGTGTTCTGTGTGGAACCACCATCGAAAGACAGCAAACTGATTCAACATGAAAACGTCACAGTAACACCTCATCTCGGAGCTAGCACAAAAGAAGCACAGGTACGTACATACACTTCTTGATAAGTCTTACTCGAGTTTCATAAGATTTTGAAGATGAATGGTTCTTGATGTTTTTAGGAAGGTGTAGCGATTGAGATAGCAGAAGCGGTATCAGGGGCATTGAGAGGCGAGCTATCAGCTACAGCAGTCAACGCTCCAATGGTTTCTCCTGAGGTCTTGTCTGAATTGGCTCCTTACATTGTCTTAGCTGAGAAGCTTGGGAGGTTGGCTGTGCAGCTAGTATCTGGAGGTAAAGGAGTACAGTCCATCAAGGTCGTGTATCGCTCAGCTCGTGACAGAGATGATTTGGACACTAGACTGCTCCGTGCGATGATCACAAAGGGAATCATCGAACCGATCTCGGATTCGTTTGTCAACCTAGTGAACGCTGATTTCATAGCTAAGCAAAAGGGTCTTCGTATCAGCGAGGAACGGATGGTGGTTGACTCATCACCAGAGTACCCTGTTGACTCCATCCAAGTTCAGATTTCGAACGTGGAGTCGAGTTTCGCTGGTGCTGTCTCTGATGGTGGAGCGATAAGTATTGAAGGGAAGGTGAAATATGGAGTTCCGCATTTGACTTGTGTGGGATCGTTTGGTGTGGATGTGAGCCTTGAAGGGAATCTGATACTGTGTAGGCAGGTGGATCAGCCGGGGATGATTGGACAAGTTGGTAACATACTTGGGGAACAAAACGTGAACGTGAGTTTCATGAGTGTTGGAAGAACGGTTGTGAGGAAACAAGCTATAATGGCGATTGGAGTTGATGAGGAACCAGACAAGAAAACACTTGAGAGGATTGGTGGAGTCTCGGCGGTTGAAGAGTTTGTGTTTCTCAAACTTTAAAAGTTTGAGAGATGGAATTTAAGTTGTAGCAAGCAAATATGTGGCATTGTGACTCTTGAGTCCTTGGTACTTTATACATTTCTTCATGTTTTTCTTTCTTATGGTCATGTAATGCTTTTGGTTACTTTCATGTTTCTCTTGTTTCTTGATGTCCAAGGAATGTGTTGTTAGGTATTTGAAATTTGTGTCTTTGGTATTTGGAAAATGGAAGCTCAAATTTAATTGGCTCCTTCTGCCTCTATGGTTGTAATCTTAGGCCTTGTGAACATGAGACTATATGTGCAATTTACAAACCTTATTGTAATTTACGTCTGAACAAGGACCATATTTTCTTTGTTGTTATCTATAATTAAAGCGACTATAGGACAATTATAGAATAGGGGGTTAGGTGATGGAAACATATTAAGAAATTCGGTTAGGACACGCGAACGTGACCACCAACCAGCTTGAAAGCAAAACCTTTCACAAGCGGAACTTTTTTGACTTGTTAATTGTTATTGCCAATTTGCCATGTGCCTAAATGAACTAAAATAAGCAAGACATGATTACAATATGTCACAGTGCACATGGAATGATTGAGTTATGTTGGTGGAACGAATTAAAAATTGAATTAGAGATGATGATTGAGTGTTTCGAAATAGAGTCGAGAATGCGTGTTATGGCATTAACGAATACCACTCATCGCTAAGAATCTACGATGATTAAATTTTATAATCATGAGAGAGCATCTTCTCCACAAAAGATAAAATATATACAAGTGGTTTAAGACTTTAAAATACTGTTAAAATGGTCTACCATATTTAATAATTTTAATGATATTGCACATTGGTCATACAAAATCTAATGTACTTACTTTGTATTTCAATTTTATAAAATATGATTAAAATTATGAAAAAGTTACAAGATTTAATAGCGCAAAGTGTTACAAAGTGTCAAAGAAATGATTCCAAATTAATTAAGTAAGCTGCTCCCATTTAGCGAGTTTATATAATAAACAAAGGAAAAAGAAAAGGTGCAAAATATAAAACTAATTAAAAATCAAATAAAATTTCCAAAGTAATATCACTGATGTCAGTCTCTGAGTAGAGAAAAAGGTGAGAGAGATAATCAAAAGAAACAGCGTCGAAGTCGCTAACTTGTAAAAGTTCGGTTCACAATCTCTGACGAAGAAGCAAAAAGCGCGGTCTTTCTGGGAATTCTCATTTCTTCCTCTCCTACTAAACTCAATGATCGTTTCTTAAATAATGTTCATCCACTCAAATCAATAAACACTTTCCAAATCAAGCTCCCTCCTTTTTGTAATTTGATATCTCATTGTGGTGTGTGTGTTGAGAGTTTCAAATTTCAAATGAAGAGTCTTGGGTTAGTCGAAATCAGTTTGCTTTGCTGTCTCTTTATCTATCTCCGTGTAGATTCCGTCTCCTCTCTAAACTCTGATGGTTTAGCTTTACTTTCGCTTCTCAAGCACTTTGATAAAGTACCACCTCAAGTAGCTTCGACGTGGAAGAACAACAACACATCCGAAACCACTCCATGTAACAACAAGTGGTTCGGTGTCACTTGTGATAATTCCGGTAACGTCTTGACTCTTAATTTAAGCACATCTGGGGTTTCAGGCCAATTAGGCTCTGAAATTGGGGAGCTCAAGAGCTTAGTGTCTCTTGATCTGAGTCTCAACAGTTTCTCTGGTCCATTGCCTTCCAGTTTAAGAAACTGCACTTCACTTGAGTATCTAGATTTGTCTAAAAACGGCTTCTCCGGAGAGATTCCAGACAGTTTCGTTACCTTGCAGAACATGACGCATCTGTACCTCACCTCAAACTTCTTCACAGGTGTGTTGCCAGACTCTTTGTTCCAGCTTCCCTTGTTGCAAACGCTGAATCTTGATCGCAACAATCTTACCGGTCCGATTCCTGCAAGCGTTGGTCTGTTGAAGGAGCTTGTAGACCTGACTCTGTCCCATAACGAGTTGTCTGGTTCCATCCCCGAGTCGATTGGGAACTGCAGCAAGCTGGAGTATCTGTACCTGAACAAGAACAAGCTTAATGGTTCTTTGCCAGAAAGTCTCAATCTTCTTGAGAATCTTGGAGAGCTGTTTGTCAGTAACAACAGTCTTGGAGGTAGGCTTCGTTTCGGTTCCAAAAACTGCAAGAAGCTGGTGACTTTAGATCTGTCCTACAACGACTTCGAAGGTGGTGTTCCTCCTGAGATTGGCAATTGCACTAGTCTCCAGGGTCTATACATTGTCAAATGCAACTTGACAGGTACAATTCCATCATCCTTGGGAATGTTGAAAGAGGTTTCGGTTGTTAACCTCGGCGAGAATCGTCTCTCTGGGACTATCCCACAAGCGCTAGGGAACTGCAGCGGCTTGAAGACCTTGAAGCTGAACAACAACCAGCTCCAAGGTGAGATACCTTCTGGATTGGGTGAGCTAAAGAAGCTACAAAGCTTGGAGCTTTTCGTGAATAAGCTCTCCGGTGAGGTTCCTATTGGTGTGTGGAAGATTCAGAGTCTGACACAGATGGTTTTTTACAACAACACTCTCACCGGGAAGCTACCTGTTGAAGTGACTCAGCTGAAGAGCCTTAAGAAGCTTATGCTGTTTAACAATAGGTTTTATGGAGAGATACCGATGTGTTTAGGTGTGAATAGAAGCTTAGAGGAGGTGGATCTTATTGGTAACGGTTTTACAGGGGAGATACCTCCAAATCTCTGCCATGGGAAGAAGTTGAGGTTTTTCAGCTTGGGTTCTAATCAGCTTCATGGTAAGATACCATCATCTGTTCGTCAGTGTAAGACTCTGGAGAGACTCATCCTTGGAGGGAACAAGCTTTCAGGTGTTCTTCCTGAGTTTCCTGAGAGTCATAGTCTTGACTATGTAGACCTCAAGAGCAACAGCTTTGAAGGATCCATCCCTAGCAGCTTGGGAAGCTGCAAGAGTCTCACGACCATCGACCTTTCAAGAAACAAGCTCACTGGTCTGATACCTCAAGAATTGGGAGATCTGCAAAACCTTGGGTACTTGAATCTTTCACATAACCATCTGCAAGGTCCTCTGCCATCTCAGCTGTCAGGCTGTGCGAGAATTATAAAGTTTGATGTTGAGTCCAACTCATTAAACGGTTCTGTTCCATCGAGCTTCAGAAGCTGGAAAAGCTTGTCCACTTTAATTCTCAGCGGTAATCAGTTCTCAGGAGCCATCCCACCGTTCTTGGAAGAGCTTGACGACCTCTCAGATCTGCGGATAGCTAGAAATGCTTTTGGAGGTGAGATTCCTTCTTCCGTTGGCTTGTTAAAGAGTCTGCGTTATGGCTTAGACCTCAGTGGAAACGGATTCACTGGCGAGATTCCAGCTGCGCTTGGGGAACTTATCCATCTCGAACGGCTCAACATATCCAACAACAAGCTGAGAGGGTCTTTATCAGTTCTTCAACGTCTTGCTCTCAGCTCCTTATCACAGGTTGATGCCTCGTATAATCAGCTCACAGGTCTAATACCGGAGAAGCTGTTGTCGAATCCATCAATGTTTGTGGGGAATCAAGACCTCTGCATTCTATCTTCTTACTCAGTAAGTGCTGTGACTCGGAAAGAGTTTAAGTCTTGCAAATTTGAAACCAGACTTAGCACCTGGAAGATCGCTCTTATAGCAGCTGGCTCTTTTATATCTGCATTGGTTTTGGTGTTTGCTCTCGTTTTGGTTTTCCTCTGCTGCAAGAGAGGAGTCAAGACAGAAGATTCTCAAGTCCTCGACGAGGAAGAAGGCGTTTCCTTGTTGCTTAACAAAGTTCTCGCAGCCACTGACAATCTAGATGACAAGTACATGATTGGAAGAGGAGCTCACGGAGTTGTTTACAAAGCCTCTTTAGGGTCAGGAGAAGAATACGCAGTGAAGAAACTCAACTTTGCAGAACATGTACGCGCAAACCAAAATATGAAGAGGGAGATAGAGACAATTGGGTTGGTTAGGCACAGGAATCTCATTCGGTTGGAAAGGTTTTGGATGAGGAAAGAAGATGGCCTGATGCTGTACAAGTACATGCCAAATGGAAGCTTACACGACGTTCTTCACAGAGGTAATCCAGGAGAAACCGGTCTTCAGTGGTCTGCACGGTTCAACATAGCCCTTGGGGTCGCACACGGGCTAGCGTATCTACACCATGATTGTCATCCACCGATCATTCACCGTGACATCAAACCAGAGAACATACTCATGGACTTGGATATGGAGCCTCACATTGGAGATTTCGGGTTGGCTCGGATTCTAGACGACTCAACAGTTTCAACAGCTACCATTACAGGCACCACTGGCTACATTGCACCAGGTACACTTACTTCTCAAAGTAACATTTTGTTTTCATGTTTTGTTTACCGTTAGCTTTATTCATTCTTTGGAACTTTTGGTATCAAACAGAAAATGCTTACAAGACAGTGAGAAGCAAGGAATCAGATGTTTACAGTTATGGAGTCGTTTTGCTGGAGCTGGTAACGGGAAAGAGAGCAGTGGACAGATCTTTTCCGGAGGAGACCGATATTGTAAGCTGGGTGAGATCTGTATTAAGCAGCTACGAGGATGACGATGATATTACTCGTCCAATTGTTGATCCAATGCTTGTGGATGAGCTTCTGGATACGAAGCTTAGGGAACAAGCAATCCAAGTTACAGACTTGGCACTTGGGTGTACGGACAAGAGGCCAGAGAACAGACCGTCCATGAGAGATGTGGTGAAAGAATTAACTTATGTGAAACATCTTGTAAGAAGCATTTCTGGTTCAGGTCAATAATTTCGGGTTTTACAGGTTTATCGTAGCAATAAGAGTGGAGTTTTTTTACTAATCTCTGTAACCACTAAGAATATTGAAATATTTGTAGTTAACATTGAGTAACCTCGAAGATATGAGAAGTATATATGATAATATATCGAAGGAAGAATATTTTTATTGAAACAAAACAAAATTGTTGTGAGTAATACAAATTACGAGAACAAGAGACATGCTTAAACAAATTTTGCCTATCTCAGTAAATTTTAGCCGCTGCTACCCGATAGCTCGCCGGAGAAGCCACTACCATACGATGTGGAACCGGTTGGTGTCTGTGATGATGTTGAGATCCCTCGAGCCTTACGCATTTGCCTTAGTCTGAATACATCCTTCGGTAGAGGCTGGCTTTGTATGGTTGCAGTATCATCTTCTTGTCCTGTTAGCAGAGAGATGATAAGATGATTCAGTTCCATTATATATGCTTGAGACCTAACTATGGGCAAAGAGAGCTTACTATCTGAATCTTTTCTCTTTGTAGCTCTTCGGTCTCTTGATAATCTCTGAGGTCCACCGCGGGTTGATCCGGATGGATCGTTTTGACTTGGAGCATTGCCTTTTACAGCAAAACTCTGCTTAGCAGTTTGACCAGATGGTAAGTCACTCTGCAAACATATTGACAGAACAACATCCACATTTGGTGTTGGACCTGAAAGAATTGAGAGGGTAATGACAAACTCGTCGGTTAGTGGATACTTAACTTAGGTGCTCATTTCAAAATGCTACTTGGAGTTGGTTTAAAGACTTTTACCTTCGACAATAGGCAAGTTAGCTAAAAACGCTAACAATGCAGGAGGAGTAGTCTTTGATATTTCGTCAAATGTGCTGGCTGATCCATGAGTTGCGGTTGCAGTCACATTACTTGGGAAGGTATTCGAAGCTGCCACTGGGTTTGATGAACTAGCAAACTCTACAGTCAAATCATGAGTGGTTCAGATTTAGTTCACTATTCATCGTGCAGCCAAATGATGTGGCAAAGTGCAAATTACCTGATTTCTTTGTCGGGTCATAAACTACCATCTGAGATGTATCTGGATAAACAACTTTCGACGAAGGAGCTACATTACCTGTCAGCTCACAACCCGGTTTATTTACTTCAGTCATCACCAAAGTTCAACGTAATTCATTCACACCAGAAAACTGAAAAGTACAGACCTGTAGCTGCAGGTCCACGAGGTAGATTTGTCTTCTCTACTTTCTTATTCATATTCTTCACAAGCCACTGTAGTGAACACATGGATCAGTTAGAATTAGTATTTACTAGATGCATCATCGGTAGTAGTTATTCAGGCTAAATGGACATACCTCTTGTCTGGCTAAATGATCAAGCTCCTTAGAAGTGCATGGCCAAAGATCCATGTAACTGTACCGGGAAACAACATCTTGAAGTGAGCTCTCTAAAGCAAAGGATCCCTCTTCCGCTTTTCCGAAAAGTGCTTCTTTCCTTCGTTGGTCAACCTACAACAAGGTTGTCATAGTAAAGAGGAATCTCAGTGATAATACTAGAAAGATTAGCTGACTTCTCCATCAAACAGTCACAGTTGTAGATTTGATTTCAGTAATTTCATAGTTCCGTGGAGACTGGAGAGTCATGGTCTCAGCAAACTTCCACGCAATCCAAAGCCAGTCAGATTAATAGACAAAAAAAATTGGGACTCTACAACAATCCTTACAAAACACAGCATTATATATGCTTTCCTAGTATACGTTGACATCTCTCTAATAAGTTTAAAAGTTAGACTACCTTTAGCATACTAGCAAGGTCTCCGTATGTTTGCTCAAACTGAATGAATTTGTTCCAGACCTGCAAAGGATGAGAAAGGAAAGAAGTGAATCCTCGAAAGTAGCACTAGGGTATAACATACTGCCACGAAACTGACTTCTTTGTCGTATTAGCCTTTAAAACAGTATTACATGTGAACCAGGCGATAATATGAATCTATTTTAGCTCAGTTCTAAAAGCTCAGATGTGCATCAGTATTACTAAACCGTTATCATACTTAAGAAAATTAAGAAATGCTATAGTCAAATTAGTTGATCGGTTATTTCATTAGAAGGTTGGCTATTCCTTTGCGTCTCTTTTCATGCTAAACAACCAAAACCACATTCTTTAACGGCTCTGAGAAACGAAACATCACTATAAGCGTACCTCAGCAGATTCTTCAGCTGGAAGTGCGTTTAATGCCCGTTCAAATAGAGCTCTAATATTTCTATCATCATTCAATCTAGTCAAGAAATCTGCATACCTGGAATTCAAAGCAAGGAAAACTAGAAGGATTAAATTCTGTGTTACGAAAGTTTGGGAAAGAAAATAAGTTTGAGGTTGTTTTATCTGAGAAGTATATCTAAAATAGGAACTCTTAGTAAGGTTGCAGTGACACTCACTCGAGGATGTAAACGGGTTCACTCATATAGCGTTTCAATCCCTCCTCAAAGATATGATGAGCAACCTGCAGAAGAATACAAACATAAGCGTTTTTATTGTGAAACTGAATAGATATTGAAATTAGACACGACATTAGTATATTTTTCTTGTAAAACTCAATTTTGTTATGTTAAAAGAATCGAACAAATGAAGAAAAAGAGGAATGTGTACAAGAAAGAAATGTAAGGTGCATATACTACTTTGTACACAAAAGAAGAGTTTAAGTGCATCAATAACCAAAACACCCTTATATTCAAATCATTTTGACTTCATTATCATAAAATTCTCCTGGCTTACTCAATCAACTAAGAGGATATAAGACGAGTTGGTTCTGAATTTGACTGAAAGAACACTACCTCCTTTATAATCAACTTAATCAAAAATCAACAAGATCAAACAAAAAAAAAGCAGTTACAACTAGCACATAGACCACATAATGGGTAAGAAAATCCACCTTTGGATCCTTGTTAAGACAAAAGGTCATCGTAGCAAAGGCAATATACACATGATATGTACAGCTGGGAGATTTTATAGCATCCAAAAAGTACTTGCGGGCAGCTTCAAGACCCTCTGCCCTCCGGAGAAAACGAAGGTACTGTGAAGAAGATACAAAGTAAATCATATGAGAATGTTTCCAGAGATACGAAATCTCAAGGTGAAAAATTTTATACGAAAGAAATACATGGAGATAAGTAACAGATATCATGAATATGATGGAAATATACAATAGTCATCAGATGAGAATCATGTGACTATGAAACAGTGTAGATATGCTTGTTATGCCAATTGTAGCAGATCTAAGTTCTGAAATTTGAATGTTCTTACTTGTATATGTGCCAAAGAGTTTGTGCTAACTTCCATAATGCTTTCATATAATTTCTTTGCTGACTGCAAAAGCATACAACTATAAGCATAGAGTTTGAGATCAATGGAAAAATCTAGATAATGAGAAGTAAGCAGCAACAATAAAAACCTGAATTGCTCCACGAGATTCCTCCAACTCAGCATAAGCATATTTCAACATTTCCGAATCTGACATAAGAGAGTGGGAATAACAAATATATAAGAATTGCAGCAATAAAGCAACTAATTCATAGACAAAAAGAGAGAAAGGATAAGGTTAGCTTTACCAGGAATGGCTTTAAGAGCTCGCTGAAATACTTTGATTGCAGCATCCGTGGAACCAGATTTTATGTGCCACTCAGCATAGTCATACCATACATTGGGATAGTGATATAAACACATCAGACACTGTAAAACCAAGGTAATAAATCAGCCAGTTAAGAAAGAAACACATTTTGGAGATTAGCATCTCACTGTCTCTCTGACTTAGCATACCTGTTCATAGACATATACAATCCGCTTTGTTGACAAGGTAGTGTCAATCCTTTGAGGGTTTCCTCTGAAAATTACATTAGAAGTAGAATATCGTTATGTTTAGAAGGAACAGTTGAAGAATAATATGCACAAGACCCAATCATCACTTGTTGGATGTAGTTAGATAGTAAATTCATTCCAGCTTTCTAGTTAATATCATCAAAAAATCTTAATATATTCAATATTCTATCGAGGACCAATTAACTGTTGCAATTTATTAATGTCTAGTTTTTGTTTTCTCCAAGGTATCAGACACCCTCAAAGAGAAATGGCTAAGCAGCTACGTAAAAACTTGTGTCATCCCTTTATGACAAGTAAAAATGATCAAAAAATAAGCTGATATGTTGAGGGTTTACTTTTCAAAGGATAAAAACTTCTTCCAGGCTATCCATTGAGCTTCTTCCTGCATAAAACCATAAAGCAGTATAAAGTACCATGTGCAAATGGTGCTTAGCTAAAAAAAATGAAAGAACCTATATAGCTCAATATGTGATATCTATCTTAATAACCTGATCTCGTGATGTAAATTTTATGCTCATAAGATATTTTTGTCAATTTAACTGTCAATATATCCACTATTTTCGACTTCAAGGATAAAAGAAATTGTAGATTCAACAGATACGAAAAGAAGCAATAGATGAGAAATTATTTACCTTGGAAGATCCTGTTGGTGGTACAGCAAGCATGTTCCAATCAATCTCTTCAATGTACTTCTTGCGCTCCCTATATACAGCTCTGGCACTGTTGAATTTTGGTTGATACTCATTTACTTGTGATTTGGCCTGCTCACAGGATAGATAATATCATGAAACAACAAAACAAAGATAAAGAAGGCCGTACCTGCTATTCATACATTAAAAAGTCATGAAAATGAGAAATCACAGAAAATTTGCAAAACAAAAGTTTACCAATTGACGGTTAACAGAATTTTCGAAGTTCTCATAATCTTTCCAGAGTTGTTCAACGTGGTGAGTCGGGGTTAAAATAGCTCTCTGATACACTTTTAGGAGAGAATTCTTCCGGTGTGAATCTTCCTGGGGGTTATGAGCCTGCAAGAGAATCTATTAGTTTCTCTGCAGTTACCAAATTATTAGTATCAAGGTACGAGTCAGAATGATATAACGAACCGGAAGAGATTTTAGAAAGGTAATGTACTCAGTCCATA